GTCTCCCACTGATGACTGCTGCCGTTGTGTCCTTGGGCAAGACACGTAACCCCACTTTGCCTGAAGCCCCCGCTGGAAGACCAAGGCTCCTGTGGACTCAGCACCTGCAGGAGGATCAGTGAGGGGCTGGTGCTCTGTGTACTGGGTGCAGCTCTGACTGTCACTCCCCCGACCCAGAAATGGATTAAGGGGAAGAAGATGGATGGATGGATGAGCGTAACGACTGAGCCATTATCAGGGAGTGTGTGTGTGTGCGTGTGTCTTGTCTTATACCATCAGTGGTAGTTACTGTATTGTTGTTACTGTATGTAGTGTACAGTAGACTTTTGTATCATGTGATTAGTGCATTTATGGTTTTGTTTCTGTCTTATTGTTTGTCCTCTGTGGCCTGTGTGAGGGGGGTTTGGATCAATATAACCGTTTTTCTTCCTCCAACCCCTTTTCAATCCCTGTATGTGCTTTTGTTTTCTTGTTTCCTGTGAAAATGATGAGTGCAGGTTTAGAAGTAAATGTTTAATTCATTCATTTGTTCATTCATTCAAACAGCCACAGTTATAATTTATGCACCACTATCCTTTACCTAATACCAGTATACCTTATATAAAGACAATTACATGCATACAATAAAATACATATAAAGAATAAGATGAGAATGAGGAAAACAATGCTACTGCAGGATCACAGAAAGATGAACTACACACAGTTGAATATTTTTGTCTCTTGTTGTGATATATTTATGACTTTTAAGCCTTTTATAATGAGGGGAGAGCGCAAATGCAGTCCCCCACTACTACAAATGATGCTGTCGAGAGTCCCACATTTGGGGTAGACGACCCACCTTCATGATCATGGGGTCTTCCTGCCAGGCCTTCAAACCAACACAGGACATGGCACTATTTTTCACTGTTTGGGTTATAATGCATTATGCCAAAAGCAACTAAACTCCTGCGATAATTAAGAAACATGGGGCTGCGTGGGCAACAAACCACTGGACCGCTCCGCCCCTGTGTCCCTAAATCCTGCCGTGTGTAAACATGGTTACGCTCCTACCGAGGGCAATATCTCTTCCCGTTTATTTTTAAAAAGTGCGTGGCTCGGCATGTCTTATTTCTGCCATATATCTGCGAGGCGGGAGACAACGGGGCCGGCCAGCGCACTGTCTGCTCCGCTGCGTATGAATAATCAAAGCTCCCCTCTCATCATTAAATCATGTGTGCGAGGAGCGGGGCACGGGGGGGATCAGACTCGGCGCTGCAGGGGTACCAGCCGGGCCTCTCCACACACCGCCGGGTGTGGCTGAGATGTGTCACGCGCCCACTTAGCTCCCCCCAGACGCACACTCGCACACACTCACCCATGAATGTGCACACGACACAGCCAGCGATTATGGAAGAGGAGCCACGCTACGGTCTGAAGGGTCTGGAGGGTCTGGAGCCCACGACCGCTGACCGCAGCCTGGCTCAATGACCAAGTATTTACAGAGAAGAATGATTCCAGAAGTCCAGTTTAGATTGGTGTTGTCTATGGCTCACTATTCAAAGACACAAAAAAGTCCCTGAATGTCCGCGGCCGCTACTGCCGAATGTCCACAGTTGAGGGCGCACTACTTAAACACAGATTCGTTCACGCCCGTACTATAAACAGCACTCTAAGACGGCCGTTTTGGACGTAACAAAAGTGGACACGATTGTTACGTCCCAAACGCCCAGTTTGTATGCAGTTATTGAATCATATTTGTTTGCATAGTGTGAAATCTATGATTACAGATTGATCATAGTTATATCCCCAAACTTTAACCATTAAATAGTCTACTCAGTCCTGTTCATGATTCCATTCACAAAGCCTCAATGACATGTCCTGTATGTAACAATTATGTCTAAACATTTTTTGAAAGGCATCCATTTTTCTTAAAATGGTTTTAGCTACCCATCTGTTTATCTATACGCTACATAGTATTTATTTTGTCGCTTGAAGTTAGATTGACCCATGGTACAGTTTAGCCATATATAACTCTGCAGGGGGTCATGGTCCAGCAAAGATGTGAGTTTTAGGACCCTCCCAGAATTACCCACCCTTTACCTGCTGCTATCATTACAGTTATTATAATGTATTCTGGTCTTATTTTCTGCTGCTAAAGTACAATATAAACATCTGTAAATGCCGCAGACCATAGTGTAGACTCCACAAGTGAATTAGCTTTGAACCAAGTGCAATTATAGCTCCAGTTGTATTTTATGATCTATTACCCTTAAACAATAGATCCTGTTTGATGTGTACAACCTGAGCACTCTTATGTTATAGTTTTATTCTGCTGCAGCAATGAATAATCTCATTTTATACGATTGGAGATAGGATTTTTTGAGATTTTAGGGTATTCCACTTAACTATAGATAATATTTGTTCATTAAATGCATATTGATACAAATTGACTTTTCTGTTTTATGAGATGGAGAGACATTTTTGAAGGCAAGCGCCAGGTAGACCCGCCCACACAGGTCCCTGATTGGACACAAAGAATTTAAATCCGTGCTAGACAGCTGAGGCCCCTCACCATTGGTCTAACTATTCTCCTCCAGCAAATCTCACTAGTGGTGGTTATGCCAGAGGAAGAGACTGATTTAAATATACTTTCTGAGAATAATACTTTTAAATAATACATAATGGTGAAATATTGGCGTAAAAATCAGAATCAATGTATTGCCATTTGCAGAATTCACGACATTGGAATTCAAACAGGAGACACCGACACCACAAAGCACACACACACAAACTTTGATGGAGATATGAAAGCAGATATGACGTATTATGCGTTTGATGATATTGTTCCATTGTTGGGGATTGCTTTAACGCGTTCACTCCCTCAGCCAATCAGCTCTCAGCTCAAAGCATCAAACAGTGACTCACAGGGCTCTTTCTTACAAGTCATTTTAGAATCAATTTTAAGATATTATTGTATTTTTTTAAAACTTTGAAAGGACTGGTCCCTCCTTACATCTCTGACCTCATTCAAATTTACCATCCGCCCCGCGCGCTGAGGTCCAAGGGCCAGCTCTAGCTGGTGCTACCTAGGACGAGGCCTTCTCTGTGGCAGGACCAAAGCTATGGAACGCTCTGCCCCCCCCCCCCCTCATATTCTAACTGCTCCCTCTGTGGACAGTTCTAAGTCTCGTCTTCAGACCCATTTCATGCTCTGGCTTTTAACACTGCGTGAGTTGAGTATGGTACTTTTATTTTATTTAGTTTTATTGCTATTTTTATATTTATACATATCTGCACACACTGTTTTTCCTGTTTGATTTTTTATGATTTGACTGTTATACTCTGGATTTTTTTTTATTAGTATTTTATTGTGCAGCACTTTGGAAACTGTGTTTATAAAATTTGCTATAAATAAATGATAAAGTGGATTGGATTGGACGTATGCCAAACTATTTTCTAATAAGATGAAAAGAGAATGTTTTGGTCTAATTAGTTTTTGCAAAATCTTACTTCATTAAGACTCTTTCTGTTGGGACAAACATTTATCAGTCATGAATAGTAAAAGTTAGGTACCCCAGCTTTAATATTGGAACGTTGACTTGTTGTAGATTATGGGACATTTCTGATATTCACAGAAAAAGCCATTTCCGTCATACGCAGGCTCTGCACATTTGTAAGCCGTCTCTCTCTCTCTCTGCCTCTCACACACTCACCGACAGAGCGGGAGAATCTGCTGCTAATGAGGCCGGTGTGCGGTTACGCGGTACAGCCAGACGGTCTCGGCGCTCATACCGATGGCAGGAGGGAGGGGGGGATGTTGAGTTCAGGCAGGAGTCACGGCTTTCTTCTTGTCTCTTCTCCAGTTAGCGGCACGTTAGAGCTGCGTGTCGCTATCAAAGAGAACGCAGAAGTAGCTACAGGGCGCACCTTTAATCTACTAGAGTCACAGAGAAAAGATGGCGATCGTGCCGCGCTGCTTCCCTGCCAGAAAAGATGACACAGAAGAGTTTAAATGCCCTGCGATTATTTGTTCTCTAGTGCCTTTGATAAGTTATGAATAGGGATGCCTCCGGCTTTTTCAAGTACGATATCTGCTGTGAGTTCCGATATCTGCTGATTTTTCACATGAATCGAGACCAGGTTTTGCAGAATCTGTGTGATTCTATCCACGACAAGGGAAACTTTATCTTATCTTAAAAATGACTTTACTGCTTATTACAAAATGTGTCCAGTTTTGTATTTTCATTTCTATATGCTCTGGGTTAAAGCTGGGGTACCAAACTTTTTCTCCCTATTCATACAGTAATCCATGTAGTTTTTTGTTTCAGCAGAAAAGGTCTTGTAAAAGTAAAATGTTGTGAACAAACGGACAACGGAAAGAAAACTAGTGAAAGAAGCAAAACCAAGAACTAAGTAGATGGATTTGATTACAGTACTTATACAATTCAAACGCTTTATTTATCCGAGAGGGGCAATTAAAATGCACCGAGAATAGCAGAGTTACAGAGTAAATTAAACAGCTCTCTGTACATCCGTCGCCACACGAGCAGTGACGGGAATGACACTGGAAAGGATCTGGACACAGCTCTGTCAGCTGTTGATCTCCAGAGCTGAGGACGTAGCACACATTCCTGCTTCAGCGTGTTTATGTGAACAGCAGAGACACACAGAAAATAGACTGGATTTACCAGAATGCTTTTATCATGAACAGAGCGTCAACATCTCAGTAGTGGATATTAATGCTGTCAAACAATGAAGATATTTAATCACATTTAATCACAAATGTTTCCTTGTTTAAAATGTCCCTTGATTTGGTTTCGAAATGGATTGGATGAAGCAAAAATGTATCAAATTCTCTCCAAAAACAACATATTTGGATTGTCTGATATATGCTGCTAAATCTCTGCTTTTGTTATTGTTTTTTTTTTTTTTACAGTGTATAGAACCTTTGAACTTAGTAGAAATGACTTGAATTGTCAGATACACGTCTGTATTTACGCCTCTGCCCCTGCTCTGTCCAGTCCCCGCCATGATCACCTCGTACCCCAACACCACTCTGGCCACTCAGGGCGAGGAGAAGAGGATGAGCTGCATCGCCCACGGGGAGAAGCCCATCATGGTGCGCTGGGAGAAGGAGGAGCGCATCATCAACCCCGAGACCAGCCGCTACGTGGTCACCGTCAAAGAGGTGGCCGACGAGGTCGTCTCTACTCTGGTGGTGAGTCTGGGGTCTGTGGGAGAGGATGAAGGTGTGCGTGCGTGCGTGTGCGTGCGTGCGTGCGTGTGTGTGTGTGAATGATTGATGGTGGTCCGATAGTTCAGAATAGTTGCCTCTGGTCCGTCAGTCTGCTCCAGGGCAGCTCTGGCTACAGCACTAGTTCACGACTACCAAGGAGTGACTGAATAACTATTACTACAGAATTGTTTTTACGAACAATCAGAAATATTCAAATAAAACACATAACCATAAACAATGTTCAAGTGTTCATTGTAGAATCTTTTGCAGAGATGATTTTTACATGTTTTGTATAATGCTACAAACTTTTTATAAACACAAAAGCATTCTCTTCATTTGTAAAGTATCTCTCTTTCTACAGTCGAAACCTTTCAATGTCTTCATTTGGATTGTCTCGAGCAGACCAGAAACACCCTCTCACCACAGACAGACAAATGGACTTATGAGCGATACTCTTCTTACGCGAGAGCTCACTGATTTTGGCCTTTTTACATCAAGGCTCAAAACGTATTTATTCAGACTGGCTTTTAACACTTTTCACACGCGCTGTGGTTAATGCTTTTTAACTTTTGTTTTTTGATTGTATGAATGTTTTAATGGATTGTATGATTTTATTGTAAAGCACCTTGAGGGTTTTAAAGGGCTCTACACATAAAAAATGATTGAAATTGATTTTTATTTTCTGAGTGTTAAATCCAGGCCTAATAACGATTGAAAACACCTCAATAATGCAAAGCTAACCTCTTGAATGCCTTGCTGAACTCTTTCCCTTCAGATCATGCCCACCGTGCGTGAGGACTCGGGATTCTTCTCCTGTCATGCCATAAACTCCTTCGGTGAAGACAGAGGCATCATTCAGCTGACTGTGCAAGGTACGCCCCCCGCTGGACACGGCTATATCCTCGGCTTTAGTTAGCTCGCCGAATCCCCCCAGCGCCGCTAATGTTCCCTGCAGCATCTCTTATGTAATCCATTCATTTATTAGCTGAGCGGCTGCATACTGTGCCTCCTCACCTGTGATGGCTCAGTGGGGACCGCGGCGGAGACACTTTCGGCTGATGCGCTCGTCTGATCTGCTGCGCTGCTGTTTCCAGGACGCACGCGGCTTTAACGCGGCTTTTACTGTTTTAGCATGTGTTTTAGCCGGAAGATACGCTGTTAAACAAACACCAGACAGAGACTCAAGACACATAGGACAAACTGAACAGTTGGTATCCGTTTTTACGACATTGTTCTGGCATCACAAAAATAGGCAGTTGGGCTTGAAATGTTGATTTTGATGGAGAAAGATGAGTAAGTAAGTAGTAAGTAATCTTTATTTATATACCGCCTTTTCACTGCAGATCTGAGTCTCAAAGCGGTTTACAATTGTTAATTTTTGGGCATTTGTCTCTCCACACAGAGATGGGAGCGGGGCCAGTACAGGAAGCGCATGCCAGAACTATTGGACATATTTTTAGTGGTAGGGGAAACCGGAGTACCCGGAGGAAACCTACGCAGACACGGGGAGAACATGCAAACTCCACTCAGAAAGGCCCTGGTCCGACCGGGATTCGAACCCAGGACCTTCTTGCTGAGAGGCAAGAGTGCTATCCACTCAGCCACCGTGCCGCCCATGAGGTTCACTTGTTGTTAGTGGTTGTGTGAAGCCATGCATTTGTGTGTTCTACTGGCCTTGATCATAAGTCTCCATCCCCCAGTTCTAAATATCTTGTTATGCCCCATTATACAACTTTATAGGTCACTGTTTTGTTGTTTTGCATATTTGTAGTGACCCAGTGGCAAGCCCCGGTCATCCAAGATGGTGGCCTATTCAAATGAATGGCTTGTGCTCAGTAGCGCATGGGACTTCACGGAGACCGAAAGATTAGCGGAACTCGCCTATATTTGGGCATCGTCTGGTCCTCCCGGTTCTGTGCAGTGGACGAGTTCCCATGATGCTTTGCTCCAAATACATGAGTGTGGCTCTCATGCACGTGCACAGGGGGGCTCGGCAGCGTTTTGACCAATCAGAGCTGCTGATTAGAGCGGAGCTAGACCAGGGGACGATCAAGCAGAGTTTATGGCAGTAAAGTGTGGATCTATAGAAAACCGAAGGATTTAAGAAGAAAAAAGTTCAGGACAACAAGGGACACTAAAATCCTCACAAAATCTGACCTTTATGAAAGCTGCAGGTTCTCTGTCAGGTTCTCTGTCAGCTGAGGTCGAGCTGTTTTAGTTTACATTGAGTTCTATGGGACGTTTTTCTTGTTAGCCTACGTGAATTCAGTCTGCAGTACCACCAGTGCCCATTGGTGGGACATGCTATAAGCTAGTAACACCCATTCAGACCACTCCGAAAGCCACTTAGCCACTACATGGTCAAATATTTTTCTCATAAATAGTTACATAATGCACCTTTAACATCTATGAAGCTTGTTTAAGGCCTTTGTGGAAGTTGTGGAGGAGGTTCTGTATCCTCTCTGATGGTAAAGCTGAAACATTATTCTTGGCAAAAAGCCCCTTGTTCCTGTAAATTCCTGGGCCACCTTGCATGAACAGCATATTTGAGATCTTACAGTTATCTCATGATTTTACTTAGACCACTTGCAATGGTTCTGTGTCATCATTCAAAATATCCAAAAAAAGGCCAAAAGAATCTGGATGGCTGGGTGTGTAAACGTTCAAGCCCAACTGTATCCGGGCTTGTTTTTAGCTCCGTCCATGCTAGTATAGGGACATTTCCGCACAACCTGCTGATTGTGTAGTTCAGTGCTTTTTTGTACACAGACCTTATTTTGAGTTCTAAACCTTTAAATTCCTAATCCAATAAAAATATAGATAATGTGTTTGATTGGACATCACATCTCTAACTAATAAAAATTCATTCTCCTACTACTTAGACTAACTTAAAGAGCGACTAAACACCAAATCAACTTTTTTTAACTCATAAACTGCATAACTATGTTTATTGTAGTGCTGTCTACATATCTTGGTCATTTTTTTGACATTTTAGTTCAAATTAGATAAAATATCACTTTTGAGCCAAAAAACGTCTGTGTGGCGCCCTCTCCACCTTTTTGGTGGTACTACATTTGAATTTGGTCCTGGCCTCTCCATTGACTCTGAAGTTCTCTATGACATCAGTTGTTTTGTGTGACGTCAGTCTGTCAGAGCCAGTGATGTGAACCCATTCAACTCTCACACACGCCCCAGCTGCAGTTTGGAGTATTCTGGCGCCATCTAGTGGATTAAAATTAAATTACATGAGTCATTCTGAGATTATTGAGTGTGATTAGGTTCAGGTGTGTAGCTTTACAATTATCTTAGTGTGTAAACAAGGGTGGAATGAGACTTTCTGGTCTGTAAACTATTGCTTTAAGCAGCAATGACAACTGTCTGTTTTTTTTTTTTGTGTGACAAGTGAGCTGTCAATCACAGCCCAGACCATGCCCAACTCTAAGCCCCCCCCCTTCTTGTCCCTTGATCCTCCAGGCAACGCCCTTTTTAGAGAACATTTTCAAATCTTCATGTGGGCGGAGTAAGGCTGGGCACAGGTGTTTAGTCGCTCTTTAAAGACTGTCTCTTGTAGTTTTTCTGAGGCCCCGGACTCCACGTTGGGAAGCACTGACCTAAAGTTTAAGCTGAAAAGAATGAAAACCAAGATGAAAGACGCATTTGTGATGAGTCAAAGAAGTGACTCACGTCTCGAGCGAACTGCAAAAAAACCACCAACAATTCTCTGCATGAATATTCTGCTTCTAAAAATACTGTTGATAATAATTCTGTGTCTTTCATTTATTTAAAGGAGACATATTGTGGCAGATTAACCTTGTTCCAACATCGTCCCTGCATCAGTCACAGACCTGGGGTGGTTTTTAGACCCTTCCATGCTGATATACGGAACTCTTGGCAGAAACATGTAACTCCTGATGTCATTGTACCACTATGACATTTTTCTGCCTTTTAAAACTAAAGTACTGTCCATAAATTAGTTTTGGCAATTACTCATGTGATTTTTTTTCTTTTTAGAATCACATGTTTGTGTTGCAGCCAAATTTGGGAAGAAAAATAAAATATATACAACTCGTCCCTCTGGTGGTGGCCTAAGGAGTTACAGGCAGAATGCAGTCTAACCCTTCATACTTATACCAACCTTTATGTATTATTTCACATTCTAAAACAAAGTAAATGGTCTCATTATCATCTTTTGTGGCAAAGAATAAGTCAATATTTAAATTCTTTCATGTAATTAGCAATAGTAATGGTTGTAAGGATGGCAGTCTCACACATACTGATACAGTCCTGTCTCGATGGTGACTTTTGCAGAGCCACCGGATCCTCCCGAAGTGGAAATCCGAGAGGTGAAAGACCGCACCATCGCTCTGCGCTGGACCATGGGCTTCGACGGCAACAGTCCCATCACAGGATACGACATCGAGTGCAAAAACAAATCAGGTGCTGACCGAGAAACAAACATTAGACTGATATGAATTCTACCATAATGGACAGCTCGACTGCAAAGCGACGAATAAAATATGATTACAATTAAGACGTAGCATGCGTTTTGGTGAAAATTGTGAAAAAAATCATTTAGTTCTGTATTGCAGCTTACAATATGAAATGGCAGGCAACGTGACGCACGACCTGCTGATTATGTGGTTCAGTCTTTTCGCACACAGACCTTATTTCCAGCAGTTCTAAAACCTTAAATTCCAAATCCAACAGAATCCAATCTAGATCATGTGTCTTGCTGTATTTCACGTCACATCTCTAACAATAAGCATTAAGATACATACAAATACACTACTACACTACATTTACTTTACGTTTAATGTTTCACAAAAATAACCAATCTATTTCAAGTAAGTAAGTAATCTTTATTAATATATTACGCCTTTTACAGACCAGAGTCACAAAGCGGTTTATAATGGTGGGCATTAGTCGCTCACTCCACACAGAGATGGGAGCGGGGCCAGTACAGGAGGCACATTCCAGTTCTATTGTACATGTTTTTAGTGGTAGGGGCAACCAGAGCACCCTGTGGAAACCTACACAGACACGGGGAGAACATGCAAACTCCACTTAGAAAGGCCCTGTTCCGATCACGATTGGAACCCAGGACCTTCTTGCACTTCTTTAAGCAATTTTGCACCAAAAAATTCCATATCAAATATCACTTATCAAAATGGTAGTGTTCAAAAGACCATGTGGAGCCCAAAACATCCTGCTTTGACAAGGAAAAGTCAAAACAAATATTTGCCCCTCTGACATGCACTAATGGTTTGCAACACTGCTGTTTCTTTTACTAAATCGCTCTAAATACATTATGAGATTTAAAATGAAGATAATATGGTCCGCAGGTTCCATAGCTTCAAAACTGTAGCCAACACAAACCCCATGATGTCAGAATTGAGAAGATAATCCATAATTTGGCCCCTGCACCTGTGTGTGACCCCTGTGCTCTGCGTCCCGTAGCCTCGTGGCTGTCGGCCCAGGTCACCAAAGACGTGTCTCCGCAGCTGAACCAGGCCACCATCATCGACCTGCACCCCTCCTCCACCTACAACATCCGCATGGTCGCCAAGAACGTCATCGGCAACAGCAACCCCAGCAACGAGCTGACCATCACCACGGACGAGGCCGGTCAGTGCTCACACATTCACACAGCGACTCATTTGTGGGCGTGGCTTAGTATTAGCTACAAAACACTTTTTCCAGAGAATGCTAAAGGTCTTCATTGTTTGTGATTTTTGATTTTGTGTTAGATTTCTTAATGGGGCAGTATGAGGATCTCCCCGAGGTTTCCCACCTTTCTCCCACTGGGTTTTAGAGTTTAACACTTTAACATTCTACAACATGTATGACACTTATCAACACGTATGGACATTTATCTACACGTATGGACATTGGTCTCTCCCTATGGTCCAATACATATGTGTTCTATATTTGTTGTGTCTTGACTGTTTGATTCTCTGATCTGTTGTTGACAATTGCAACGGTTTTGTTAAGTCCTCAGAGATTACTTCTGCTGTGATTTAGAGCTTTACAAGAATACATCCAATTGAATTAATTGTAATGACTTTCTCAGACCAAAAAATGCCCCTGTGGACTAGTGCTGAACACTTACAGCAATACATCTGGTTTGTCCAATGATAAAGTTACGTCCATATTAGATAAATAAATACATAATTGATCAAATAAAACACAAAATGACCACTTTGCAAACACATGGTCTCTGTCTTCCTGCTAAAGTGTTTGTCATTTAATAGAACTCTTGATTATATTATTATTACTCTTAGTTATATTATTTGGCTAATAAACACATCTACACCTATAAAGTCAGACGGCTCTGGTCTTACAGTGCAATAATAACATCATTTCCTCACAATAAGAGTAACATGACAGGACCGTGCTGTGTGTGGTGGAGAAGCAGGTGTATTTCAGCCTGTGCAGCTCCACAGCTCCATCTAGTGGTGATAATAATCATGTTCTCTTTCTCAGCGCCTGATGGACCACCACAAGATGTGACGCTGGAGTCCACCTCGCCCCAGACCATCAAGGTTTCCTGGAAGGTAGGATTCATCTGTGCTCGGACTTCATTTCTTTCATTCCTCTTTAAAGACATAATATCAGAGGCCCTTTGGCACCGGTATTTTGCTCAAGTGAAAAACCCAAGGTGCTAAATCAAATAGAATGAGCATTTTTTTTGCTTTGAAGTTAATGAATGCCACGTCTTTTTGAATTCAGAAAAGAAATTACTCACTGCATAGTACTTTTACAATACATGGTTGTGTAGTTTTGTGTCTCAGTGTCTACATCTCGTCCTTTTCTGTACAAACACTTACATACAGTTCAAAAGTTTATTTCTGTAATTCAACTTAAAACTCAGAGACAGATTCCAAGCTTTTGCGTGTCATAATTTTGACAATTATGGCTAACAGTTCATTTAAAAGGTATTATCATTTTCTTTTTTTTTAAAACACAATTTATTGAGCATTTTTTATATTTCGCATTTTACAGTCATTCATGAACAGGTGGATGACAAACATGCCCTCCATCATCCCATAATGACTGCAAATATTTAAACGTACAATATACAGTTTTTAACTTCAGAGCCTTGCACGGTCAGGCTCCGTCTTACATCAGTGACCTGATCCAGCCTTACACCCCAGCCAGGGCTCTGAGGTCTGTGGATCAGAACCTCCTGATGGTTCCAAGCACTCGCTTCAAGACCAGAGGAGACAGGTCCTTCCAGGCTGTTGCTCCCAAGCTTTGGAACGTTCTCCCGCTCTCTCTGCGTTCTACTATAGAGTCTGTTGAGTCAACTTAAGTCAACTTAAAACTCATCTATTTGTTCAGGCTTTTGCATAATTTTGTCTTGCTGTTTTTACATGGTTGTCTAGGCCTTTAAAAATGAGTATGTCCAATTTATGTCTGTTTTTATATGTGTGTAAAGCGCTTTGTGACCCTGGTCTGTGAAGGGCGCTTTATAAATAAAGTTTACTTACTTACTTACAGTATTTATTTAAAAAAAAATGCATAAAGAAAAAGTAAAGAAGATTAAATAAACGTATTAACATACATTTCTAACAGACATATTAAATTAAAACAGACTCCAATAGCACAGCACACAGGTAAAACAGTGGCTTTGCTCTGGGCCGTGAACCTAACATCATCTGAGCAGGAGAACACAGGACTCATACCGATCCAAACGCAACCTGTGAGCAGAAAGAAACGCTCAGTCAAGCTATTATTAGTTTGTGTTCAAGTTATCAGTTTTTATTTGGGATTTTTACAGCTGTGAGGCAATTATCGACTTTATAACAATTATAGGCTTGATACATCTCACTTTACCTTCACATTGTAGGTTAAATTACAGACTTTTGAACAATATTTTTACAAGAAGATATTATGATTAGTCAGATTAGTTGAATTATTATCAGTATTTAACCTAATATTTGTATATTTTGAATGTCTTTGCTATGGAAGTCTTTTATTCAGTTCTCAGTGGGAATTTGTCTTTTTTTCAGACTTATTTTCAGATCAAAATATTCAACTGAAGTGTCTCACGTCAAACAGCGTTATCATTATTTATGGTGCAATCCTTTACACGATCATATGAGGAATAGATGTACTGAAATTATAAACAAGACACGCAATAAACATAAATTAACAGTTTGAAAAGGGATTGAATGAACACAAATCAAAACACAGGGCAAGATCCAGACAAGCTAAAACACTCTCTGACCCTACACCTGTTCCATTATAAGGCCTATAGACTGTATTACTATAACATACCAGTAACCCCGGACCGTGTGCCCTGCTCCTCCCCCAGCCCCCACACAAGCACCTGCAGAACGGGGTGATCCGGGGGTACCAGGTGGGCTACAGGGAGTACAGTCCTGGAGGCAGTCACCAGTTCACCATCCTGAGCGTGGACAGCACCGGAGACACCACCGAGAGCCTCCCCCTGGACAACCTCAAGAAGTTTACCCAGTACAGCGTGGTGGTGCAGGCCGCCAACCGAGCCGGGACCGGGCCCTCCTCCCAGCAGGTGGTCACCAAGACGCTGGAGGACGGTGAGGCTCAAATACATCAGACTGCAGAGGAAAACGCTTTTATAGAACTGGTTTTAGCTAGTTTTATAAGCTGAAAAGTGCTAGAGTGTGGCAGGATATGAAAGATATAGTCTCTTTCAAAACGCAGGGGCTTTTTACCAGTATACACACAAACATATACACTTTTCTGCCAGTTCAAAAACACATGTGAAAGTGGGTTGCATCCTTTTTCGACATGGCCATTTATTACTATTGAAAGATAATAAATGGGCAATACAGTAAGATCTTATATCTAAGAAACAAACCACAGATTTAAGCTATAATTTCAGGTAAAAGTTGCTAATTTGGCTCAAAGTCTATTGTATTTACAAGAACAAAATCCAATACTTTTTCCCTGATATATATATATCCTGAAATATATTGGTCCAGCGATTGTGACAGACCTCAGACTACACATATTTTGTAGGTTATTATTATTGTTCAATTTTGTTTTTTTTTAACTTTTCATTTTAGTTTTGTTTTTGAGCTTTTTAAAATGTATTATTTAATGTGTGTGCATGTTTTTATATTTATTTTATTAACTTTGACCAAAATCTTCAGGTGTAGGCCAAACAGTCAGGATATAAATGATTATGTGAATGTGGTGCAAGTCTCCAAATAACAAGAGCCTTAATTCTCAATACATAAAATCAACTTTCTAATTAAAATAAAAGATAATATGGAGAAATACGTGTTTCTGCTTTTGGACCGTGCCCTGTAAAGTAGGGTGTGTTCTGCCATCTAGTGGACTGATAGAAAATTACACATAACGATTTGGTTATCAATACTTTCAGAATACTTCATGTATGTATGTTTCACACATGGGAATGACAGTCTTTAGAATGTATTTAATTTATAAAGTAGATTTTTCACTATTCTTGGTATGGATTAAGTTACACAATGACTCACAGTTGAAGGGAATCTGAATCAATTTCTTTATTTAAGTGTGCTGCGAGTATTGGATGTAATGCTTCTTTTTATTAGTCCCATTAGTTACTTTATGTTTGATTACAAGCTGAATGATAAAGTACATGTTGCCTATATATTTTTCTTTCTTTTCTATTTTTTTCAACCACGCACAAACTCAAATCTCTCTCCTATCTCCTTCCTCCTTCTTCCTCCCTCCTCCCTCCTCCCTCCTCAGTCCCGTCGCGTCCCCCTGAGAACGTCCTGGCTGTGGCCAAGTCTCCGGAGGTCATCTCTCTGTCCTGGATGCCCCTGCCCCGGGAGGCTCTGAACGGGAACCTGCAGGGGTACAGGGTCATCTACTGGGCCAACCTGCCGGACGGAGGTACAGTACCAGCCCCCCCACACACACACACTGTATGCAGCTCAAGTCCTGACTAGAACCAGGAAGAACCAGAGAATAGACTTTAAAACAGCTTTGAGTAATAAACTTGCCTTGCCTTTGTACGTGTGGACTGACTATATATAAACACATTAGACAGGATTCTTCCAATTATTTTTTAAGTATTTTACTGAGTCTTGCTAAATTACCTCGGCCGATGAATGCAGATTATGAAAGTGTGAATTTGAAGGACATAAGAAACAGGGAGTTTAATGATGTCCTGCTCTACCGTAGTGTGTGTGTGTGTCTGCGTGTGTGTGTGTGTGTGTGTGTGTGTGTGTGTGTGGGTCTCGGCTCCAGTCTGCTCAGTCTCCATCAATAATTCACTAAAGCAGTAACTGGTCCACATCCCTCAGCTGTGGCAGAGACAGCCCAGAAAGACAGGAATGATATAACATTGTGGACAGAAAGTACAAGTGTGTAATCCCACAGTGGTACAACAATACTTTCCACACTGGAGAGAAAACAGGACACAACTATGGTCACTGTCCAAACTCAGTCTCAGTTCATTTCTGTGTCAATACATAATGGAACATCCATCCATCCATCCATCCATCCATCCATTTTCTTCCGCTTTATCCGTTGCCGGGTCGCGGGGGCAGCAGTCTAAGCAGAGACGCCCAGACTTCCCTATCCACACACACTTCCTCCAGCTCGTCCGGGGGGGACCCCAAGGCGTTCCCAGGCCAGCTGGGAGACATAGTCTCTCCAGCGTGTTCTGGGTCTTCCGCGGGGCCTCCTCCCAGTGGGACGTGCCCGGAACACCTCCCCAGGGAGGCGTCCAGGAGGCATCCGGAACAGATGCCCGAGCCACCTCAACTGGTTCCTCTCGACGTGGAGAAGCAGCGGCTCTACTCCGAGCTCCTCCCGTGTGACTGAGCTCCTCACCCTATCTCTAAGGGAGCGCCCAGCCACTCTGCGGAGGAAGCTCATTTCGACCGCTTGTATCCGCGATCTCGTTCTTTCGGTCATTACCCAAAGCTCATGACCATAGGTGAGGGAGGGAACGAAGATTGACCGGTAAATCGAGAGCTTTGCCTTTCGGCTCAGCTCCCTCTTTACCACAACGGTCCGATACAGCGACCGCATCACTGCGCACGCTGCACCGATCCACCTGTCAATCTCACGCTCCATTCTTCCCTCACTCGTGAACAAGACCCCGAGATACTTGAACTCCTCCACTTGAGGAAGGACCTCTCCACCCACCTGCAGAGGGCAAGGCACCTTTTTCCGGTCCAGCACCATGGCCTCGGATTTGGAGGTGCATATTCTCATCCCAGCCGCTTCACACTCGGCTGCAAACCGCCCCAGTGCATGCTGCAGGTCCTGGTTCGTTGGAGCCAACAGGACAACATCGTCCGCAAACAGCAGAGATGAAGTCCTGTGGTCTCCGAACCGGACCCCCTCCGACCCCTGGCTGCGCCTAGATATTCTGTCCATAAATACAGTGAACAGAACCACATAATGGAACAAAGACACAAAGTTCCAACTGGAGTCTAAGTGGTGACGATGTTCAGAAATATATTCATGATGTTGACCAGTAGAAAGGACGAAGTGTGCAGGTGAAAGTCGTGAAGTCGTTCAGAAGTTCATTTATTTCTGATATACATTCATTACATATACTGTAAAGTGACAAATGCCAAGCTTGTGTGAAGCAAGTTGATGATTATGGATTAAAGTAATTTTCTAAGATGTTTGATTTGGGGTTTTATACTTAAGATAAGATAAGATAAACTTTATTGATCTCACACAGGAGAAATGTACATATCACATCTGGCGTGGATAGAAACACTCAGATTGCGCAAAAGAAAGAAATGTGCAAACATGTTAAATGCAGGATATATTATGTACAATAAAAAGTGGCAATCAAGAAACGGTGTCACTTTTTTAGAAGTTTTTAGTTCTTTTGAAAGACAAGAACTAAAAAAGCATTTTAACTCAAGACAAACTGAACCTTTTTTAATTAACAGTGTCAATAGTAGTGCAGGTTTTTCAGTCCTAATGCAAGTGACTTAAAGTGACTTATTGTACAGTCTGACTATATAGTTTATAGTTATACAGTTTATAGTTATCCAGTTTATAGTTAGACAGTTTATAGTTAGACAGTTTATAGTTAGACAGTTATCAACATAATAACAATAACAAACAAAGGCCTCACTTTGTGTATAATGAGTTTGTCATGTATTAATTTCATTATAAGTTAAAGGTATTTGGGAGGAGCTTCTCATCTAAACCAGAGGTTAGGACCCTATGGCCCCGGAGCCAAATGTGGCTCTTTTAATGACTGTGGCTCTCAGACAAATGCTGTACATTAAGAATGTTTTATGTATTGAATTTCTTAGCCTCAAATGAAGGATTTTGTTTAATAACATTTTTACACTAATAATACTCTCTAAATCTGTTGCTTTTGCTGTAAAAAATACATATAGTCACAGTAAAAAGAATTGATGGCTCCCACAGAAATATATTTTATTATTTAGTGTTTTGTGGCCCTTTTAGCTGAAAAGGTTCCTGACTTCTGATCTAAACTATGGTCCTCCTAAATGTCAATCATTTGCGAGACATGTTTTTATAGGCATTCCTTCTGCAGAGGGCAGTTCTTTCCTAAAACTTGGGAAAACTAAAATTAATACTAATTTATAATACAAGTGGACTTTGAAGTGAGTAGACTTTTTAACAATATGTGTCAGGTTTCAATATCATCAACATCAAATAATCTTTCTCTATATTTCTTTAAAACATGTCTTTGTCCTTGTGGGTTGCACGGTTACTGTCTCTAGAACATGAACGCAGCTTATTGAACCTGTAACTTGTTTGTGTCAGAATTGGGAGAGATCCGTAACGTGACCACCACCGTGCCGTCGCTGGAGCTGGACGGTCTGGAGAAGTACACCAACTACAGCATCCAGGTGTTAGCCTTCACCAACGCGGGCGACGGCGTGCGCAGCGAGCAGATCTACGTGCGCACCAAGGAGGACGGTAGGTCCCGCCACCGCAACCGCCCAGACCCGCCCTGTCTTGAAGAGACCATGGGGTTCTACAGAGTCTTTGAAAGTCTTAAAAGCATTGAATATATGAATGTAGAAAAAATACCGTAAAAAGAAAACGGCTTAAATGTTGATGTCTGGATGTGTGGAACTCTGCTCCTGATCCCAACTACAACACAGACCATGATCAACAATCCAGGCAGAAGTATATATAAAAAAGAAACCGTCTTTGCTGGTTGGTCCGCAAAATAAGCTGTAGCAGATATGAAGTTCTTTTACGTCGTAGTCATGAAGATTCCAATGCAAACTGCCTTTGATTAATGCTGTTTAAACCACCTTTATACCTGGGGCGTCACCATAGTAACGCACAGAATCAATCACAATTGGTTACTACTAACTTTGAATTATACAGTTATTTTGAAATGTCTATTTTACAGCAGGATTCTGAAGTGGCTAAATATACTAAATATGTTTTGTTAAATTCAGACACATTTCTTTGCTCTTCTGTGTGTGTGTCTCTTTGGTCATGACAACGGTTGCTAAGGAAAATTGGCAGGCTCTTAGCTAAAGGAGTAGTCCCTTTCCTTCTACATGTTTTTTATATTGAGTATCAAGGACAAATTACTTAATCATTATTTATAATTGTAAATGGTCTTAAAAAGGTCATCTGTGTGTGTGTGTGTGTGTCTGTGTTTGTGTGTGTATGTGTGTGTGTGCGTGCGTGTGTCTGTGTGTGTGTGTGTGTGTGTGTCTGTGTTTGTGTGTGTATGTGTGTGTGTGCGTGCGTGCGTGTGTCTGTGTGTGTGTGTGTGTGTCTGTGTTTGTGTGTGTATGTGTGTGTGTGCGTGCGTGTGTCTGTGTGTGTGTGTGTGTGTCTGTGTTTGTGTGTGTATGTGTGTGTGTGCGTGCGTGTCTGTGTGTGTGTGTGTGTGTGTGTCTGTGTTTGTGTGTGTATGTGTGTGTGTGCGTGCGTGTGTGTGTCTGTGTGTGTGTGTGTGTGTGTGCAGTGCCCGGTCCTCCCGCGGGGGTGAAGGCCGCAGCCTCCAGCAGCTCTGTGGTCTTCGTGTCCTGGCTTCCTCCACTCAAACTCAACGGAATCATCCGGAAGTACATCGTGTTCTGCTCCAACCTGCACCCCATGGTATTAGCATCTGCGCACCACAATCACACGCTCTACGCCTTTGGAGAAATATCCAAGTGCCAAATATCTCACCAACTGTTTTGAAAAATGTCTAATTTTGTTTAGAGTAAAAAAGAGAGTTCAAGAGAGTTCCATTTGAAACAGTAGGAATGAGGAGCACACAACACAAACGCTTGAATGAAGTCGCTTTTCACTTTTCTCACAGTCACGCCTGAGTTCTGCAACATATTTTTGACTGTTTTTATGAATGCGTAAAATTATGTTTTTGCCCGATATTCGCTCAAGTCAAATGTGATAGTGTAAAAGTAGTTTAAAAACACTCATTTGTTGGCAACACAAAGAATCTCTATTTCCTCAAAACGTCATACAGTCACACATGGGAGGTTTTGTGTTGGTAATTCTTCTGGCTTTGTGGTCTTCGATTTTAAGATTTGTTTTCACATTTTTGTGCGTGTGTGTCTGGATTTTTTGTGGATAGATCAATTCTGTTTTTTTCTTCAATTATATCTTTAAATGATCTTTTCCTCTTTGATCTGTCTTATTATGCAGACTCCAATCATCATGTTTCTACACTGTTCTGAGTCCACACACACACACACACACACACACACACACACATATGTATAAACATTAACACACATACACATAGACATACACTTACACATACGCCTACACACACACACAATCGCTTCCATATACACATACACATGAATACACAGACACATACACACACACACACATATGCTTACACATAGACATAGGCATACACATACGAACATGTACACATACACATGGACACACACACACACACGTACATGTACACATACAGATACACGTACACACACACACACACGTACACATATGCTTACAGATACACATGGACACACACACACACACGTACATGTACACATACAGATACACGTACACACACACACACACGTACACATATGCTTACAGATACACATGGACACACACACACACACGTACATGTACACATACACATGGACACACACACACAGGCCTTTCTCAAACTGCTGCTGTTGCACGGTGGTCCATGAACCCTCTCTCTTCTTGATTTGCAGGTGATGAGTGAGTTTGAGGCCGCTCCAGATGTCTTCTTCTACCGGATCCCAAACCTCGCCCGCAACCGGCAGTACAACATCTGGGTGGTGGCTGTGACCGCGGCGGGCCACGGCAACAACAGTGAGAAGATCACCGTGGAGCCTCTGGCCAAAGGTACGGACGACCACACACTTAGTATAACACATTGTTTTATGCTAGTTCCCTTTCTAAGACAGCTCTTAGACAGTAGGGGCGGAGTTACATGTTTGTGCCAGATGTCCTATTAGCGTGGAACTTCTGGCACACGTTAACATAGCATTATATATTAGCGTGGATGGAGCTAAAAACTTCAGGTCTGTTTTTGATGAGGGAACAATGTTGTATAATATGGTTAAACTGTTTTCATGATACTTCCCTTTAATATACCATACAAGATATTAACTGGAAGGGACTGGTTTTAAACTAGAAACCAAACATCTAAGTAGGCACTAATTCAGTCTTGATTATTCTAAGAGCTCGGTTTAAGAGTCTGGATTCATAAAGAACCTCCGGAACTGGCAGCTCACAGCTCACAGTCTGACTTATCTGGATTTTATTGTATAATATAAATCCAGAAACCGCTCCACCACAAGTGTTGTTTGTGTTCCGCGCTTGTAGCTCCTGCGAGGATCCTCACCTTTAACGGGACGGTGACCACTCCCTGGATGAAAGACATCGTGCTGCCGTGCAAAGCCGTGGGCGACCCCCCTCCCACCGTCAAGTGGCTCAAGCTAAAGTAAGTCCCTCACACGCCATCTCAGAAAAGAAGTCTTCTGCCCGGCCGTTGTTAGACTTCAGATCTCTCTGTCGCTGTTGGTGATACAGACTTTAGTATTTTAGGCTTGTATTGTCGTGTTGTTGTATTGTTGTGTTGTTGTACTGTGTTCATATGTTTGAATAGGCTCCACTCCACTTCCCTGGGTATTACTTATGTTACTTTTAAAAGTGTCCTGTGTTTTTATCCTGTGTCATCCACTTGGCGGCACGGTGGTTGGGTCCATAGCAATAATACCCATAATAATACCCACAATTGTAAAGCTCTTTGTGACTCTGGTCTGGTACTTACTTACTTACTCCCTATATGTGTTTTTATGATTTAATGCCCTGTGCTGCTCAATTCAATGGCCTCTGGTGGGATAAATAGTCTGAATCTGAATCTGAATCTAAAGGAGTGAATTAAAAGTCTGTGCTCTGTTGCCTGCAGCACGAACGGGACCCCCACCCCTGTCCTGGTGGATGGACGCCGCAGTGTCCACAGCAACGGCAGCTTCATCATCCGCACCGTGAAAGCCGAGGATTCTGGGAACTACAGCTGTGTGGCCAGCAACAACTGGGGCTCTGACGAGATCACGCTGAACCTGCAAGTTCAAGGCAAGAGAGGAGCCTTTTTATCATGGACAGAGCTGACGAGAGTTACTTCACATTGAACTTGCTTTTCTCCGCAGTCCCTCCTGACCAGCCACGCCTTACCGTTACCAAGACGACCACCACATCCATCACCCTGTCGTGGATCCCGGGGGACAACGGAGGCAGCTCTATTAGAGGTCAGCTTCCAAACCAATGCAGTATTTATTATGCAGAAGTCATGGATCTCAACAATGAAACGCTCTGGTTCTATTTTTACAACAATTCAGCTTAATGTGACATCACAACATTCCAAAGAGCCAATCCACATGAAACAATAACTTATTGTAACTTATATCCACTACGGTCTCAGTATTTTCTCATAAAGTTGTCTAGAAGCGGTAAAGGATTCGGGTTAGCTTAGCAGTAGCACCCGAGTAGCACGAACTCAAAACGTCTTTTCCTCATCTGATTTTCTATTCTTTGCCACAACAGGGCGAGTGGCAAATGTGAGATTCTTCGGTTCAGCCATTGTAGGTGTTTTAGAAAATCCGACTCAAAAACAACTCAGGTGCAAGCACTGACGAAAATCCGGGGGGCGGGTTGTGGGGGGTGATGAACGCATTGGTTTCGTTCTATCGGCCCGCTCCAAAATATTTATGATTTATTTTTTGAGGCTACAGACATCTGGTCATGTCCATTCCTATTTGAGAACACATGATAACTTGACTACTTTTGGGGTTCAGGGTCGTTTCCCACAGTATTTTAAAAATTGCGTCTGGATAAATTATTTACTGCATCTTTAATGTTCTAGGTTTTCAACATTGCCTTCAAAAATGGCTCCTTTCCCATAGAGTTGTATTGGCCCCAGCCTATACACATACATGTACATGAACGCAACCCAGCCCGAGTCTCAGCCCGAGTCTCAGCCCGAGTCTCAGCCCGAGTCTCAGCCCGAGTCTCAGCCCGAGTCTCAGCCCGAGTCTCAGCCCGAGTCTCAGCCCGAGTCTCAGCCCGAGTCGCAGGCCGAGTCTCAGCCCGAGTCTCAGCCCGAGTCTCAGCCCGAGTCTCAGCCCGAGTCTCAGCCCGAGTCTCAGCCCGAGTCTCAGCCCGAGTCTCAGCCCGAGTCTCAGCCCGAGTCTCAGCCCGAGTCTCAGCCCGAGTCTCAGCCCGAGTCTCAGCCCGAGTCTCAGCCCGAGTCTCAGCCCGAGTCTCAGCCCGAGTCTCAGCCCGAGTCTCAGCCCGAGTCTCAGCCCGAGTCTCAGCCCGAGTCTCAGCCCGAGTCTCAGCCCGAGTCTCAGCCCGAGTCTCAGCCCGAGTCTCAGCCCGAGTCTCAGCCCGAGTCTCAGCCCGAGTCTCAGCCCGAGTCTCAGCCCGAGTCTCAGCCCGAGTCTCAGCCCGAGTCTCAGCCCGAGTCTAAGCCCGAGTCTCAGCCCGAGTCTCAGCCCGAGTCTCAGCCCGAGTCTCAGCCAGAGTCTAGGCCCCTGTGCGTCTGCTTACGTCTTCCTGAATACAACAGCCTCCTCTTCCAAAAGTTTTTTCCGATGAACCAAAAAAAACATGTCACTATGAGCAGAACTCTGTAGTCAGTCAGTACAGTGGTCCGAAGGTCCAGCTCTTCTTGGCCTAAGTTTGGACGTGTTGCTTCCAGTGTGTGCAGGGGATGCCTCCTCTCTCGGTGCTCTCAGTCGGACCCCCCCAGACCCTGAGCTGCTCTCTTGTCATTTTGCCGCAGCAGGAGGGGGAAACTGCGCCGTCCTATAAAACCGATTAAAAAGAGCATAACAGATTACAAGTGTTTAAGTAGGAGATTAAAGCACTCCGTCTTAAAGATAGGCCGTTGGAAGTGATTTATCATGGCCCCGATCAAACACCCTCCGTCTCAGCCCTGGGCATCCTAATGTTTGTTTATCGCAGCTCAGACGGGCGTTTATCTTCCAGGACCAATGTGTACAGTCGGATATCTCTGTAGCGTCGGCAAATGTCTTCAGGAGGTTCCACAAACATCACATTTGTAGCTAAAGTGAACGGATTTGAACGTGTAGTAAAAGAAAATGAATGAAACAAGTATAGTGTGGTATTTTAAAGCATATTTTATCACCTCAGTCATTTCATCCTCCAACATGTTAAATTAAAAACGAAATCATTCAGTCATTGTGTATGTAGTATATACAGTATCTATGCAATTCAATTCAATTTGTTAATTTGAATTGTCGATAAATGATAAAAACCAGCCATTGGTCCATAAATGTCATTGAATGTATGAATAATTTGATGAATGAATGAATGTGACTATTTCTGCTTGAATTATTATATACATGAGAGAAATGAGAATGAGAATAATCAGTTTTACAATTACGAGCCTTCTTTGTATCAGGCTCCGTTACTGTTCAATTCAAATTATATTATTTGTCAAAACACTTGCATTGAAGAAACTTTTCAACTTTGCCAAAGGTGAGTTTCAAACAACTTTTCCACTAAGAAAAACACTTCGATACTTTCATAACAACAACATAGACAAACATAGACAGCAAAACAGCGCCCTCATCTGGCCTGAACAAAAACTGCGTCTCTAAAACTATTTGAGTGATTATTTATTTTGAGTGTAATGTAAATCTCACATTATTATCAAATACTACTACATAGAATTTTCTAACAAATCATTCATTAACAATGACATATTTTAATATTTTACATTAATCAATATTTATCTATATTGTCCCCATGTAGAATTCTACACCGTAAATGATGGTGTAGAAAAAATGTCAATGCTTAGTAAGTTTATCATAGTCGACTTGTGAAAATGTAGTGAATATGCTGTAACCCAGGCATGTCCAAACTCAGGCCCGAGGGCCAAGTGCGGCCCTCTGTGCCATTTAATGTGGCCCTCTGCTGCTATCACAAAGTTGCCATTGAGGCACTTTGATAGTGTCATCCAACCAACTTCAGGTCCACCAATACAGTCATGCTTTACTTCTTTGTAAATCTCAGACCCTCTGGAATCCAGGTCGTTATCTAACGACATTTGTTTTATAATTGTGTCACAACATTCCACATAAAATGCAGCTGTGAATCATTAAGGACGTATCAAAACCCATTTTCAATCCAGCTCAAATCCAGCTTTTGAATCCAGGTTGTCGGCCCCAGGTCAAGACTGATGAACTATAGTGGGCCTAAAAAAGTGGCTACTAAAAAGATTGAACACCCCTGATCTAACCCAAAGGTTACGGGAGCAGCTAAAAAGTAACACAGTTTTTGTTTAGTATTTTAGTTATTTAGTCAAAAAGTGTGCTCCCCTTTCCCTTGTTCCCGTTTCCAAGTATGTCCTGAAAGGAGATAAAAAATTACTTTACCAGAGAAGCCAAGACTCAATCTGCTCTGTCCCTCTGGTGTGTGTGTGTGCGTGTGTGTGTGTGTGTGTGTGTGTGTGTGTGCGTGTGTGCGCGTGTGTGTGCGTACAGGTTACATTCTGCAGTACTCTGAGGACAACAGTGAGCAGTGGGGCAGTTTTCCCATCAGCCCCAGCGAGCGCTCCTACCGCCTGGAGAACCTCAAGTGCGGCACCTGGTACAAGTTCACCCTGACGGCTCAGAACGCCGTGGGACCAGGGCGCATCAGCGAGATCATCGAAGCAAAGACTCATGGGAAAGGTCTGCTGCATCTGTGTGTTTAGTGCCATAATGACAGGAGCCTTTTGAAAACGTTTGGAGACTCCAGCCCTCAAAGCTCAGTCTGTCTGTGAGCAGAAGAGGACTGGTGATAATGGGTTGTATGTGACATCACAACATTCCAAAAAGCCTTTAGTGTATAATGATGGTAGAGGGCAGCTAAAAAGTGTTACTTATCTCTAACATAAATGTCAAAAGTAATCCACAAATCCATGAAACGTATCATTTATAGTCTAAAGGTTTACATACAGTAACTCCGCCCCTTTCTCCTCAGTCTCAGTTCTGTAATAGTATGATGTCATTGCACCACTATGACATCACTCGCAGAGCAGTTTTTTCTGCCTTTTCAAACAAAAGTACTGCCCATAAATCGTTTTTTCATTTGCCAAGTGAAATAATTTTTTCATTTGGAACAAAACAAACACTGGGAAGTTTCAGATACAGTAAAGCCTTTTTACCCATCATACCATATATTTTCTACTTCAAGTTATATAGGAGGATTATCCTGAACTCTAGGAAAGAACCGCCCTCCTCAGAGGAGGACCAGTAGTCTAGATGATCCACCCAAATACATCATTGAAAAGTTACTAACAATAGTAAAGTAAATAGACTCCTTATAATATTATAAAACCCTTCTCCCTGATGCTAATAACCCTCTCTCTTCTCAGAACCCCAGTTTGCCAAAGAACACGAGCTCTTCACCAGCATCAACGCGAGCCGGGCGCGTCTCAACCTGGCGGGCTGGAACAACGGCGGCTGCCCCATCACCACCTTCATCCTGGAGTACAGAGCCGTGGAAGCCAGCGCCTGGACCACGGCTCAGCGCACCTCCCTCACCAAGAGCTACGTCCTGTACGACCTGCAGGAGGCCACCTGGTACGAGCTGCAGATGAAGGTCACCAACAGCGCCGGCTCCGCGGAGAAGAGAGTCACCTTCGCCACGCTCACCGGAGACGGGAGTGAGTGTCTCTTTGGGATTCACACCAATAATATAATAACACATTTATTTATATTGCACCTTACATTTCCAGGGAACTTCAAAGTGCTGCCAGTTAAAATTGCAAAAACACAAACATGAAGGGGTTAAAAGCTAATGAAATCCCCAATAGCCCTGGGGAAGGAAGGTTTTTAGGCCTCTTTTAAAGGCCACTTCTCTGGGAGGGCGTTCCAGAGGCGTGGACTTGTTGTTTGACCCTTTAATGGTTTTCTCGATCATTTCGTGGTTCGCTTTTTGAGTCTCTATTTCTACTTGAAGCTTGGATCTGAAATCTACCTCACTGGGGCATCTCTACCACTTTCGCCCTCAAACTGCATCTGAGCCATTTGGTAGAGGCCTATAATAAAGAAAATAGTGGATAAAAAATATAAAACAAAATAAAAACACATATTTTTGTCGTTAGTGCTCCTACATCTTAGAAAATCAAAACAAGAAAAATGGACGCATCTATAACCCTTTAACGCTTTCCTCAACCATTTGGATCACTTTTTGAGTCACTATATCTACTTGAAGCTTGGAACTGAAATATTCCTCTTTGGTTTGAGGCGCTTTTACCAAAACAATTCATCTCAACCATTTGGTAAAGAAAATGCGGGTTCAAATAAACAAAAACGTTATTAGTGCTCCTACAATTAAAAAAAATCCAAATATCAAAACATAATAATAATTGGAGTGGATGCAGAGACATCGGACCACAACATGCTGTCTCATCTTATGTTATCTTTAGCATACCTGTAAGAAAGAGCCTTGTGAGTCACTATTTGACCATTTGGGCAGACCAAATTGCTACTCTCTTTTTGACTTCTTTAGATCAACTTTTTTAGAGGCTAAAAGTGCATGGATGTGAAAACTATGTGTTGGTAGAGCGTTTGATCCCATCACAATCCATGACACCTGCTCCAACTGATTTCTGCTGTTGTTTTGTCCCTGGGCAAGACACTTAACCCCACATTGCCTGAAATCCCCGCTGTAAGATCAAGGCCGTGTCTGTGTTGAAGGAGCAGCCATCTTCCTGTGGACCCACCACCTGCAGGAGGATCAGCGAGGGTCTGGTGCTTTGTGAATTGGGTGGCAGCTCTGGCTGACACCCTGACCCAGAAATAGATAATAAAGGGATGAAAATGAATGAATGAACGATTTACATTTTTGTGGCTTGAAAGTCAGGTACCCCAGCTTTAAACGTAAAAAAAAACTTTCATAACAAACAAAGCAATTCAAACATAATGGCATTGGAAAGGAGAATGGGTTAGTTTCTGGGTGAAGGGGGAGGTTCTGTACATCAGGTCAATGCAGTCATGCTAACAACACAATCGTTCTGCTAACCATTGCACTTTTTATTTTATTTTCTCTTGGTCTCTGAAAAGTAGGCTGTTTTGTCAGCTTTTTTGTAACATGCTGCTGACAGGTGTTCTCGGCACAAATGTGCGGGAAAAACAGGGATGGGCAATAATTCTGGAAGCTTCTGTGCCTCAGGCTGGAGATGGTACTAGTTCTAAAAGCCTATTAGGACTTTGTGCTGCTGTGGATTCCATTTATTTAAGGCCATCGCTGACACGTGCTGCGTATCCTTCACCACGGATCCAAGCAACATTCGAGGGGAGAGAAAATAGGCTGCAATGTGTGCAAAGTATAAAGCACTGAAGACCTCTATGAAAAAGAAATAGAGATGTATCTGTAGTATGTTCTGCAGTCCTGTGAAGAGTTCTTACAAGTATAGGTTCTTCTTGAAAACTGAAAATACTAGTGGGTTTCATTGTCCCGCTATTTTGAGCACAAATTAACCGAATAATTTGCTTTTTATTTCAAAATGTGCAAGATTTTAATGTATTTCATTGAATATGATTCCATTTATTTTTGTACAACCCTAAATCACAGCAGCAGTCGTCTTGGAGGACTTTACAAAGTTGTCGATTCCTCAACAATTCAAACACAGAAAAGTAAATAATCCTTAGGAGCCATTAGTCCATAGGGAGCGGGATGATCATAAATGTTAATAAATGTCCCTAAATGTCCTTAAATGCTGCTGATCCTCACTGTGTTTAGATCCTCCTGCATCAGCAAAGGACAAAAAGATAACATTAAGGTCATAACAACAGGTTCATGCTTGTATATGTTCATAATAAACTTAAAAAAGTGCATTTACACATTTTATAAAATCTTGATATAACATGTACAGGATTGGTGCAATACTTTGGGGAGAAGACATACGTGACATGATCCTGTGTTTTTTGTGCGTGTGTGTGTGAATACAGAGAGAGATAAACACTAGTACATGATGTTAATGGCAGTAATGTGTGTGCATGTGTGTTTGTGTGTATGTCCGTATGCGTGTGTGTGAATATAGAGAGCGTACATGATGGTAACATGACAGTATCGTTTGTGCAGGCACCATCCCGCCGCTGCTGAAGACCGGAGACCCCATCTCTGACAACATGTCGGGCAGTGGGGGTCTGAAGATGGTGGTGACCATCACGTCCATCCTGGTGGTGGCTGTGCTGGTCTTCATCATGCTCATGGTGCTGAAGAGGAGGAGGAGGGAGCAGAGACTCAAGAGGCTCAGAGGTCATTTTACAGAACACACACGTTCACCTTCAGAAGGACACATTCAGATCAGATTCATTTTATTTGCCATTTGCAGTAAAACCACAGTGGAATACATTTGCAAAAGTCCCTAGTGTGTTATTCTCTCGCTTTCATGACACATTTGCTAAAACACTAGAGGTGACAGAGTTAAACAGTTCATCTACAGTAGAAAACGATGCATTCTTAAAGTTTTTCATTCCCATAAATAGTTCACTCGTATTCTCATTTATGCGCATTTTTCGAACAATTGCAGAGTCCACTGGTGGTTTGTTAGTAAAACACATGTCAAAAAATACACAGATTGATCTGAAAGAGCAACGTCGACCATGTTTACATTTGAAATATTCACCCCTTTAGTAACTAACAGATCTAGAGTGTGCCCTCTGCTGTGGGTGGGGCCACTTACGTGCTGAGTGAGATCAAAGGATTCAAGAACAGAACTCAGCTCTTTTGCATTTCAGTCATCAACATTATCCACATGAATATTAAAATCACCTGTAATAACCAAACTATCAAAGTCTGTGCATACAACTGAAAGCAACTCTGTAAAATTATCAATAAAACTGTGACATGACTGCGGTGGCTTGTATAGGACAATGAAGAGTATTGAAGGAGATTGTTTTTGTTGTATTTTAAATCAGAATCAGAATCATTTTTATTGCCACGTAAGTAATAAAAGTTACCACTTGGAAATTGGTTTGGCAGAGCATGCCACGGCGCCATCTTGCGGCGCTGTGGGGAGTATGGGGTGTAGTTATGAATGTTAGATAGGACTCTTGATCTGGCTACAGTGGGTGTGAGAGGAATAGTCTTCATCGCCGATTTTATCATGCCTGCAGAGCATTCCGGTAATTCCAGTAGTGAAGGCGGGGATGGAAGACAAAGGGAAAGGTCGCCATCATTTTCCCTAGATGGAGTGGATGTGGCAGGGGGGACCCAAAACAGGTCCATGGAAGGTGATGAGGGAGTTTTTGGTGGAGACGGAGGTGGTTGAGGAACCCCCTGTACAGGCCCGTCTGCTGTAGCCTGGAGCAATGGGGCGGGGGCTTCAGGGGGGCTGTAGGTGGGGAAGGTGCTGCTGAATGATGAAGCAGCCACTGCTGGTGCTGTATCCGCTGATGACGATGTGGAAGCTGCTGCTGATGATGCTGGTGGAGAAGGTGTAGAGCTCTTTCGGGGCGATGGAGGTGTTGAGCTCTTTTGGGGCGGTGGAGGTGTTGAGCTCTTTCGGGGCGGTGGAGGTGTTGAGCTCTTTCGGGGCGGTGGAGGTGTTGAGCTCTTTCGGGGCGGTGGAGACGTTGAGCTCTTTTGGGGCGGTGGAGGTGTTGAGTTCCTTTCTTCGCATTGGCATAATTCACTCACTCCATACATTTTAGTGGTAAACTACTGTTGCTCCAGCTGTCCTGGGGCAGACCGACGCAAGTGAGTCTGCTGGTCGCTGCCATTGGCCCCAGTGTCCCAGAGGTCTCCCATCACAGTCCTCTGCAAAGCCTCCCATACTCAGTTCTTACCATGCATCTGAGCTTTTCCTTACTGTAAATAAGTTCTTTTTGGATCATTTGCAGCATTACTACTTTGAAAACAAGACTAATCCACACATGACATATCCTTTGTCAATCGCTGACAAAACCCAATATTGAATTCTTCCAAACATTGAAACTGTATTACATCCCATCTCACACGACATCACTCAAATGACTATGAAGTATATTTCCGTTACCTTTCCAGTGCGTTTTGTCCCTCACATTTTACATTTCACTGGCTCCTTACAAAAGTACTTGTGAGTGTCCTGTGTATTTCTGCTGCTGGGGCTTATCAAAGGGGACAGCACTATTATGGCATTAACCGCCTCTTTGCTGACTTCACAGATGCCAAGAGCCTGGCAGAAATGCTGATGAGGTACGTAGCTTTAATTTTAATTTATCCACACCGCTTTTCCTTGAGCACCCTGCATAAATCACGTAGTTACATTTGCTATCACTAAAAATCCAATATATTGCCGGCTGGATATGCTGTCTCCACTTCCTGCTTATCGCTGCTTATCAACTTGAATGGATTTGAATTAGCGTTAGTGCAGTACAATGCAGAACAGGGGTATGTGATGTATTTCTGCTGTTCGTCTGTGGCAGCAAAAACACCAGGACGCCCGACACGGTGAACAAGCAGCCGCAGCCGCTCCGAATGCACATCGACATCCCTCGGGCCCAGCTGCTCATCGAGGAGCGGGACACCATGGAGACCATCGGTAAGTGCCCCAGACAGGCCGCTTTACCCGGCCCTCGCGCGTGAAATCCAAGGCCTCAGCTGTCAGCGGGGCTCCGGATGATGACAAATGAGGATCTTCAATGTAGTGATTAGTAAAACTGTCAGTGGAGTACTCAACCGGGTCAGAACGTCTGGCATATTGTGCAAAATAAACTGTTTTGAGTTTTTTTTTTACCATGTCACAACATTGTCCCTCATCAAAAATAGACCTGGAGTTGTTTTTAGAACGAGAGATAGATACATTGATATTTTATTGATGTAGGAGAAATTCAAGTGTCCAGTAGCAGCAAAAATAGAAAATATAATTGATCATTCTACAAAGCAAACAATAGTAATAATAAGCAACAGCCCTTCTGGTCACAGCAGCAGAGGTGGTGTAGCCTCTAGGTGGAGCAGGACGGGTCACAAGGTGGAGTAGCCGCTTGGTTCGGACCATTTTCTCTGCTCTGGTCCAAAGCAAAATGCGAAATGCTTCATTAGCAGTTTTCAAAAAGTTAGCATTCCTCCTGTGGATTTTCGCCTGATCCGCTTGGTTCAGACCATGAATCCTCTCTGCTCTGGTCTGAACCAGTGTAAAACCATGAACACTGTACTACAGCAACATCTCAGGCAGAAAAAAATTAAGAAAAATAGCAATTGTAAAACTCAAAACAACAACCTTCCTCGCTAATATCGGGAACTTCCGGCACAAACATGTAACTCCGCCCCTTCTGTCAAAGCTCCTGTCTCAGTCCTGGAATAGTATGATGTCATTGTAACACTATGTTTAGCAAAGTCACAGGTGAAATGATGCTCTTTGCAATGATATGTCTGTGTGCAGCAAAATAACATGTAACCAATATGTATTGGTTACACCTCCCTCTGGTGGTAGCTCACAGTTTATTTTCTACTGAAGATATTTAATATTTATGAAGCAATGGTGAAAACAATACGTAAAATGTCTTTGTTAATCCATCCATCCATTTTCTCCCCCTTAATCCATTTCTGGGTCAGGGGGGGTGGCAGTCAGAGCTGCACCCAGTACACAGAGCACCAGCCCCTCACTGATCCTCCTGCAGGTGGTGAGTCCACAGGAGCTGAAATCTTTCAGTGGGGGCAATTTTACAAAATTGGATAACATAAATTCAAAGATCTTGAATTTTATATCATGGGTCATTTGAGCAGAATATGACTTATCTGTATTGCATTCTCCTTGAAAGTTTCATTTAAAAAATTTAGAAAATAAAGAAAAGCAAGAGGCATCCAGACCATGTCAAATGAAGCAGGAGTAAAGGAGCCGTGTCATTTCCATCTCGTACCGAATGAGCTGAAGACTTAAAAACACTAAAAGATGTTTTGATCATTGAAATGTCCTGATTGTGGCTTGTGCTTGTTGCAGATGACAGGTCGACGGTGCTGCTGACAGACAACGACTTTGGGGAAACCAACAAGCAGAAGTCGTCCACAGTGACCCACACGGTGCACTACCAGTCCCTGTCCCAGGCCACCGGGCCCCTGGTGGACGTGTCCGACGCCAGGCCTGGAACCAGTGAGTCCCTCCACCGTCAGTGCCCAACATTTACTTCCTTTACTACTAACACTACTACTATATATGTGTGTGTGTGTGTTAGTGTATATGTACGTGTTTGTGTGTGTGTGTGTATATGTACGTGTGTGTGTGTCTGTGTGTGCGTGCAAGCGTGTGGTGTGGGTTTATTTTTATTATTTATCTAATAAAAGCTTATTTCAGAGCAAAGTCAACTCACAGTTTGCTTTGGAACTGACACCAACTCCCAAGACACACCCATTCACTCAGAAAAGCCCAGCCCAAACACTCTCTGACCCTACACCTCTCTCCCTTTATGCCATGCTTTCCTCCTTATCCAGGCAAAGCAAGATAAATTCAAACAAATCAAAGTGCTTAACAAAACAAGATAGAAACAATCACACCAGGAATTCAAATTACAGTTTATTTTGTACAGAGTGAAGATACAACTATCCCTGTTGTCTGCACTGCTAAACGGGTTTGAATTGAATAAAGTTTGCACGTGTTTTTAATTCATCTGCTGATTAGTTCCAAATAGCAGCTGTATGATTTAAAGTAGAAGAAGTTTCCTGTTAGTCTGTAGTTATAGTGAGCCTCTCTGTCATAGACTAAGTTTGTACATTAGGTGGAAGAGTTTCCAGATGCCCTGAACATTCCAGAGCAGTGTGAAAGTGTCATGATTCTGGTGCTAACTGCCCTGATCCGGTCGTCACTCAGTGCAGAGACCTGTGTTTGCACTTCCTGTGTTTGTTGAGGCCACAGCTCGTGTCTCAAAAAACGTTTGTCCCGACTTCGCTGCACAAAGTTTCCGTGAGGACGTTTTCAGGCCGGATCAAATTGTCACACTCTCACTAAACTAAAGCAGCCTGAGCAGCCACACTTAACCACACACACACACACACATACATACGCACGCACACACACACATACACACACACACACACATACATACGCACGCACACACAGACACACAGATTGCAGTGACACAGAAAGTGCCGCTGTGGGCTCCTCTTGGTGCACCACTGGAGCAGAACTGATGAAGAGGAGCGATGTGTCTGCACTGTTCTGACGGCGGCTCACCTGACTGCTCTGGTCCGGTATGCCAGCCGCGGGGGCCTGCTGATATCCCAGACCAGTACTTCTGACTTAAGCTGGCCGTGTAGGAGTGTTGTTATGGCAGTTTTAGTTTGGCTACTCTCTGAATATAAAACCTTGCCTTGTCATTTGGAAACAGTTTTTGAAAAGTAAACATATGTATGATAGAAAAGGCTCTTTGCGACCTTAACTACAGAACGTTATGGTGATTCTGGGACAATAATGTGCCTCATCAGTTCAGACCAAGTTGGAGAAGCTATAATTTGGGTCCCTGCAATAAGGGAAAGGCAGTGAAGGGCTTAAAGCTGGGGTTTCTAGTTTCTACATTTCCAACTACAAACAATGAAACTATGGAATCAAATCCATATAACTAGTTTTTCACTCTCAAACGGTTTGATTCTATCACATGGTTCCACGTGCATGTGTTATTTTTGGTGTCTGTCAAATCTCCACATCCGAGAGGTCCACCCTCCCTCAGCCAATCAGATCTCTGCCCCAAGCGGCGTCAAAAAGTGGCTCTCAAGGCTCTTTCTTACAACTTTGCGAACAATTAAATGTTTTCCAATAAGATGGAGTCGACATGTTGTGGCCTTATTGTTTCACAAAATGTTCCTTTTTCGAGACTTTCTTTTAGGACAAAAACAACATGTTTTATTCATGAGGAAAAACAAGTCATTTTCCCCAGAGAATACACAATCCAAGGGTTTGAATCTCTGGCTTCATGAAAAAAATAATGAAAAATTAGATCATCAAAAACATCCTATACAACATTGTGTGTGTCTGTCTGTTGGCCTGCAAGTGCGTGTGTGTGTGTGTGTGTGTGTGTGTGTGTGTGTCGGTCTGTCTGTTGGCCTGCAAGTGCGTGTGTGTGTGTGTCGGTCTGTCTGTTGGCCTGCTAGTGCGTGTGTGTGTGTGTGTGTGTGTGTGTGTGTGTGTGTGTGTGTGTCGGTCTGTCTGTTGGCCTGCAAGTGTGCGTGTGTGTGTGTGTCGGTCTGTCTGTTGGCCTGCAAGTGCGTGTGTGTGTGTGTGTGTGTGTCTGTCTGTTGACCTGCAAGTGCGTGTGTGTGTGTGTGTGTTGGTCTGTCTGTTGGCCTGCAAGTGCGCGTGTGTGTGTGTGTGTGTGTGTGTGTGTGTGTGTTGGTCTGTCTGTTGGCCTGCAAGTGCGCGTGTGTGTGTGTGTGTGTCTGTCTGTTGGCCTGCAAGTGTGTGTGTGTGTCTGTCTGTTGGCCTGCAATTGCGTGTGTGTGTGTGTGTTGGTCTGTCTGTTGGCCTGCAAGTGCGTGTGTGTGTGTGTGTGTTGGTCTGTCTGTTGGCCTGCAAGTGCGCGTGTGTGTGTGTGTCTGTCTGCAAGTGTGTGTGTGCACTTGTTTTCAACTCCTGGTGGGTTCCATAACCTGAGATTCCACTCACGTCATGGGGACTGGTTTTACGTGGTGGGGCCCGAACACCGGACCCCACTGGTCCAAGCTTAATAATCAATGGGTAATGCTTTTCTAACGGTCCTTATGCAGTCTCTGTAAAAATATGGAAAGGACCCCTGGAGGTTTACTTTCCTGAAAAAAGTGTGTTATGTGTCGGAACCCTGGTGGTGGGTTGCGGGATATCAAGGAGGGGCACACTGGGGCAATTTCAGTCCAGCAGGCTGGAGCCAATCATGGAGCAGCACAACAGAGGAAATCAGGTGTCAGGCTAGAAAAAGGTGCAAGTGTGTGGTTCATTAGGCTGCAAGAAATCATGGAGGAGCACACTGAAGCGCACGCTTACAAACCACTGGTAAGTGCTGACTACAAGTCATGACTTCAAATTGTTATATAGAATGATTACAAATTATTTGTTGTTTGTGCAGCTTAGTCAAGAGTCCCTAATTGATGAAGTCGACTCAGATTCTGACGATTTAACTGTCAAGAAGAAACCTGTAAAAAAGTATGGAAAAAGAAAAATCAAAAACACTTTTCTTCAAGACTCGGAAAGTGACGAACCAAAGGCAAATAAGATTGTTATCATGCAGCTGCAAAAGAAGAAAAATGGGGGGCGAGTTTACAGCAAGAGACACTTCTGCCTCTACTGTTCAATGTCCTGCCACAAAATGTCCCGTCATTTGACTAGAAAACATGGAAATGAAAGTGACGTAGCCAGAGCATTGGCTCTACCTGTGAAATCTAAAGCACGTAAACTTCAGTTTGATTTGATCAGGAATAGTGGAAACCGTGAGCACAATTTTGAGGTTTTAAAGGCCGGCATTGGAACTTTAGTCCCAGCTAAACAGCCAAATTCCCCAGTTAAATCCAGTGAGTTTTTGCACTGTATAGACTGTGGGGCATTGCTTAAGCGAAAGTCGCTGTGGAGGCATGTGGCCAGGTGCCGGCTTTCACAGAAAGATGCCCAGGCTAAACCAGGTAGAAGTAGGGTCCAGTCCCTCTGCTCCCTAGCCCAGCCTGTACCGGAGGGCATCAGCAAAAAGCTGTGGTCTTTAATTTCGGCAATGCATCAGGATGAGGTCACGGGTGTTGTCAAAGCAGAAAAGGGGATTCTGAGACTCGGAGAGCACCTGTACTTAAAACACGGGCATGATAAGACTAAGCATGATTACATTAGGCAGAAAATGAGAGAAGTCGGTAGGTTAATTAACGAAGCAAAAACCGCAGGGAAACTGAAAACAATTAAGGATTTCTTTATTCCTTCCAACTTTAACCATGTGATTGATGCAGTCAGGTCTGTGGCTGGATATGATGAGGAAACAAATCAATACAAGACTCCATCCTTGGCCCTCAAACTCGGCCATAGCCTCAGAAAGCTAGCAGATATTCTTGAATGTGACTCAAAAATGGAGCATTGTGTTGATGAACTATTTATTAAAAACCTCCAACGAAGCCGGCTGCTTTTTGAGAAGAGGTGGGACGTCTGTGTTTCTTCTGCTGCCCTACAGACCCTCCGGCAAGCCAAGTGGAACACTCCGGACCTGCTCCCTCTGACTGAGGACGTTAGAGCCATGCATGCACATATTGAGGTATGTCGACCTGAATATGTGCAAACCCTAATAAGTGAGCCAACGTCTAAGCATTGGTCTAAACTGGCAGTTTTGACTCTTTGTGAGGTCATCATTTTCAATCGAAGAAGGGAAGGTGAGGTTTCAAAGATGCCACTGACAGCCTTTACCTTAAGAAGTAAGACTGGGATCCATTCTGACATTGCTCTGGGACTGTCCCAACTTGAGAAAAAGCTGTGTCAGCATTTTCAACGCATTGAAATTAAAGGGAAAAGAAGTCGGAAAGTGCCGGTTCTTTTGACTCCTGAAATGATTGCTTCGATGGAGGTGCTGGTGGAGAACAGAAGGGCCTGTTCCATCTCTGACCATAACCCATACTTCTTTTCCCGCCCGGGCGCAGACACCCACATCAGGGGATCAGACTCCCTACGCCAGGTAGCCAAAGAATGTGGTGCGGTGCATCCAGAGATGCTATCCTCAACCAAACTTAGAAAGCACATAGCTACTATGTCTACAGTTCTCAATATGAAAGAGAATGAGATGGACATACTTGCCAACTTCCTCGGCCATGACATTCGCATCCACAGGCAATATTACAGACTACCAGAGGGGACACTGGAGCTGGCCAAAATCAGCAAAGTGTTGATGGCCATGGAGCAGGGAAGAGTGACGGAATTCGAAGGAAAGAGCCTCGACCAGATACAAATTGAGCCTGAAGGTAATTCTTGATAATATTAAAATATGTATGATTTTTTTCCCCTAAAGGCCACTTGTATTTTTATTTTCTGTGCGACAGGGAGAGCAGTAGAGATCCTCTCACAAACGGACGGGCTAAAAGAAACTTCAAGCGGAGAACCTTCAACCATTCATCCAGATGCACCCCATGGTAGTGGCAGTGCCCCTTCTGGTAAGTGTACCAGGTGGGGGATTACAGCCAGGCTGCTTGGTCCTCACCCTGGGAGTGTATATTGCTAATATATTTTTATTTCTCTCCCTAGAACGTGTAAGAAAGCCATGGTCTGCATCTGAGGTGAAGGCTGTGGAGAAGACCATGACACCTTTCATACAGACTGGAAAGGTCCCTGGGAAGTCTCACTGCCTGGCCTGCATTAATGCCTCACCAGATGACCTTAGACATCGGACATGGAGTGGCATTAAATTCTATGTCAAAAATAGAATCACTGCAATTCGAAAACAAAATCTAAAATAAAATTCCTTTAAAATAGTTGTTTGGTTTCTATTGACTGTTTTGTATTACTTAAAGTCTTGGTAAAAAAATGATTATGTCTATGGGTCCCATTCTGAACGGCCCTGTCAAAGGGACCCACCAGGTAACAAAAACGTGTATGTGTGTGTGTGTGTGTGTGTGTGTGTGTGTGTGTTGGCCTCTCTGTTTGCCTGCAAGTGCGTGTGTGTGTGTTGGTCTGTCTGTTGGCCTGCAAGTGCGTGTGTGTGTGTGTGTGTGTTGGTCTGTCTGTTGGCCTGCAGGTGTGTGTGTGTGTCTGTCTGCAAGTGTGTGTGTGTGTGTGTGCAAGTGTGTCTGTCTTCAAGTGTGTGTGTGTCTGTCTGTCTGCAAGTGTGTGTGCATGTCTGTGTCTGTGTGTCTGCAAGTGTGTGAGTGTGTGTATGTTCTTTCAGTGTTGTATGTTTAACTAAAAAAGGTATAAAGTTAGTGATTTAGTCAATATTTGTGTCTGATTTTCCATGTTTTAAAGGAGTTAAGGGAGATAAGGGATTAGTTGTTAATCTGAATTAAACTGAACAAGTTGTGTTTTGTTATTCTCATGTTGTGTTTGCTAATTGAGCCTGATGCTGTTGTACTCAGACCCCACTGCCAGACGCACTGCCAAAGCCGGTCCTGCCGCCGCCCGGAGCCGCTACGCCAGTCAGTGGACCCTGAACCGGCCCCATCCCACCAGCTCCTCCCACACGCTGACCACGGACTGGAGACTGCCCACGCCCCGCGCCACGGGCTCCGTGGACAAGGAGAGTGACAGCTACAGCGTCAGCCCCTCCCAGGACACAGGTACACATACCCATATACACACATGCACACACTCACACACACATACACACACACACACACACACAGGCCCACACTGAGGTTGGACTCTTGTCATACTGGCTTCTGATGTCGCAGAATTGACTTATTGGAACCATGCTCTACTTTTATACTTATACAAACCGAGTTCCACCTTGACTCTGAGTATTATGGTCTGTGGCATTATTCAGCTCATGTGCAGTACATCATTTTTGGTCTTCATAACGTTGTGACTTTTTTGTTTCTATACATAGTTTGTTTCTAGTTCATTATTTTTTATCAAATATCTTTTCTCTTTGAAAAATAAAATACACATTTTCAGTTTCTTTCTTACTATGGTAGTTAAAGCCTTTTTTTCAAGTTCATGTTCTGGACTGGGTTACCGGACTGGTTTTGGACTTGTTCTGGTTCAGCTGGCTTTTACACCAGAGAAGAGCGAGGGCTGGTCACCATAGCAACCCACTGTTTATTGTTAGCAGTTAGCCTTTTCTATTAGCCTTGGCCTTTCAACAAACTGTTTTGGCTGTTTTCAAGTTATATCTACACAGAAGATTATTCAATTTTTCTCAGACTTTACGATTTCTCAGAATTCCGTTAGTTTGGGAGCCGTCAAAATGATGGTTCTGGGAGTTTTAGTAGTTTCATAATTGTGGGAGTTCTGGTGGCATCTGAAGTGGCATCTGGTCCCAAAAAGCAGTCCTCCTCCTGAGATAGAAGTGTAATGGAGTAGTTTCTTGTGTTAGTTACTTCTCAGAGCTAAGGACCTTTCACACATGTTTTATGAGTAGCTGATGGCACTCGACCCCAGGATCTTCAGTTCGTCTTCTTCTGTTTTTTTGTGTGTTTGTAACAACGGCCATCTCTGCCCCGCCTCCTCTCAGACCGTGCCCGCAGCAGCATGGTGTCCACGGAGAGCGCCTCCTCCACGTACGAGGAGCTGGCGCGTGCCTACGAACACGCCAAGATGGAGGAGCAGCTGCGGCACGCCAAGTTCACCATCACCGAGTGCTTCATCTCAGACACGTCGTCGGAGCAGATGACGGCGGGGACCAACGAGTACACGGACAGCATGACGTCCAGCACGCCATCCGAGTCGGGCATCTGCCGCTTCACCGCCTCGCCGCCCAAACCGCAGGACGTGAGCCGCGTCATGAACATGGCGGCGCCCAAAGCCCACCGGCCTGGTGCGTACTCACACATACTCACACTCACAATCACACAAACTCACACACACACTCACAATCACACAAACTCACACACACAATCACACATACTCACACACACACTCACACATACTCATACTCACACTCACACATACTCACACACACATACTCATACTCATACACACACATACTCACACACACACATACTCACACTCACACGTACTCACACATACTCACACAGGCCACTGCTAAAGCTGGGGAACCTGACTTTCAAGTTTGTTTTCAGATTTTAGCTGCTTTTTGCTATTTCCTTTTTAACATATTAACATTTACAAACAAAAAAACATGACTTTATCAGACCATTAAATCTGCATAATACATCCAGTCCTGTCCACGCTGGGGAGGGGGTACTCAGGGCGGAAAGGGGACCACTGTGCTGGTTTACCTCAGATGACCTCTCCTGGGGGCCTCAGCTCTGTCAGTGGGTCCAGACCGTAGTCCAGACTTGTCTTACATTTCTGGCCACATTGTGCTCTGAGGAGAGCAAGAGGGCGGGTCCAGGCCCCCTCCTCTCTGCCTCCTCTCTGCCTCCTCTCTACCTCTCTCTGCCTCCTCTCTGCCTCCTCTCTACCTCTCTCTGCCTCCTCTCTGCCTCCTCTCTGCCTCCTCTCTGCCTCCTCTCTACCTCTCTCTGCCTCCTCTCTACCTCCTTTCTGCCTCCTCTCTCTACCTCCTCTCTGCCTCCTCTCTACCTCTCTCGGCCTCCTCTCTGCCTCCTCTCTACCTCCTCTCTGCCTCCTCTCTGCCTCCTCTCTGCCTCCTCTCTACCTCCTCTCTGCCTCCTCTCTGCCTCCTCTCTACCTCCTCTCTACCTCCTCTCTGCCTCCTCTCTGCCTCCTCTCTGCCTCCTCTCTGCCTCCTCTCTACCTCCTCTCTGCCTCCTCTCTGCCTCCTCTCTACCTCCTCTCTGCCTCCTCTCTACCTCTCTCTACCTCCTCTCTACCTCCTCTCTGCCTCCTCTCTGCCCCCTCTCTACCTCTCTCTGCCTCCTCTCTACCTCCTTACTGCCTCCTCTCGGCCTCCCCTCTACCTCCTCTCTGCCTCCTCTCTGCTTCCTCTCTGCCTCTTCTCTCCCTCCTCTCTGTCTTGTCTCTGCTGCTCTCTTCCTCCTCTCTTTCTCCTCTCTGCCTCTCTCTGCTGCTCTCTGCCTCCTCTCTGCCTCCTCTCTGCCTCCTCTCTCCCTCCCCTCTGCCTCCTCTCTTCCTCCTCTCTACCTCCTCTCTGCCTCCTCTCTGCCTCCTCTCTGCCTCCCCTCTGCCTCCTCTCTGCCTCTCTCTGCTGCTCTCTGCCTCCCCTCTGCCTCCTCTCTGCCTCCTCTCTCCCTCCCCTCTTCCTCCTCTCTGCCTCCTCTCTACCTCCTCTCTGCCTCCTCTCTGCCTCCCCTCTGCCTCCTCTCTGCCTCCTCTCTACCTCCTCTCTGCCTCCTCTCTACCTCTCTCTGCCTCCTCTCTGCCTCCTCTCTGCCTCCTCTCTACCTCCTCTCTGCCTCCTCTCTGCCTCCTCTCTACCTCTCTCTGCCTCCTCTCTACCTCCTCTCTGCCTCCTCTCTGCCTCCTCTCTACCTCCTCTCTGCCTCCTCTCTACCTCCTCTCTGCCTCCTCTCTACCTCCTCTCTGCCTCCTCTCTGCCTCCTCTCTACCTCTCTCTACCTCCTCTCTGCCTCCTCTCTACCTCCTCTCTGCCTCCTCTCTGCCTCCTCTCTACCTCCTCTCTGCCTCCTCTCTACCTCTCTCTACCTCCTCTCTACCTCCTCTCTGCCTCCTCTCTGCCTCCTCTCTACCTCCTTACTGCCTCCTCTCGGCCTCCCCTCTACCTCCTCTCTGCCTCCTCTCTGCTTCCTCTCTGCCTCTTCTCTCCCTCCTCTCTGTCTTGTCTCTGCTGCTCTCTTCCTCCTCTCTGCCTCCTCTCTGCCTCTCTCTGCTGCTCTCTGCCTCCTCTCTGCCTCCTCTCTGCCTCCTCTCTCCCTCCCCTCTGCCTCCTCTCTTCCTCCTCTCTACCTCCTCTCTGCCTCCTCTCTGCCTCCTCTCTGCCTCCCCTCTGCCTCCTCTCTGCCTCTCTCTGCTGCTCTCTGCCTCCCCTCTGCCTCCTCTCTGCCTCCTCTCTCCCTCCCCTCTGCCTCCTCTCTGCCTCCTCTCTACCTCCTCTCTGCCTCCTCTCTGCCTCCTCTCTCCCTCCCCTCTGCCTCCTCTCTGCCTCCTCTCTACCTCCTCTCTGCCTCCTCTCTACCTCTCTCTGCCTCCTCTCTGCCTCCTCTCTGCCTCCTCTCTACCTCCTCTCTGCCTCCTCTCTACCTCTCTCTGCCTCCTCTCTACCTCCTCTCTGCCTCCTCTCTGCCTCCTCTCTACCTCCTCTCTGCCTCCTCTCTGCCTCCTCTCTACCTCTCTCTGCCTCCTCTCTGCCTCCTCTCTACCTCCTCTCTGCCTCCTCTCTACCTCTCTCTGCCTCCTCTCTACCTCCTCTCTGCCTCCTCTCTACCTCTCTCTACCTCCTCTCTGCCTCCTCTCTACCTCCTCTCTACTCCTCTCTGCCTCCTCTCTACCTCTCTCTGCCTCCTCTCTGCCTCCTCTCTACCTCTCTCTGCCTCCTCTCTTCCTCCTCTCTGCCTCCTCTCTGCCTCCTCTCTACCTCCTCTCTGCCTCCTCTCTGCCTCCTCTCTGCCTCCTCTCTGCCTCCTCTCTACCTCTCTCTGCCTCCTCTCTACCTCCTCTCTGCCTCCTCTCTGCCTCCTCTCTACCTCTCTCTACCTCCTCTCTGCCTCCTCTCTACCTCCTCTCTACCTCCTCTCTGCCTCCTCTCTGCCTCCTCTCTACCTCTCTCTGCCTCCTCTCTGCCTCCTCTCTACCTCTCTCTGCCTCCTCTCTTCCTCCTCTCTGCCTCCTCTCTGCCTCCTCTCTACCTCCTCTCTGCCTCCTCTCTGCCTCCTCTCTGCCTCCTCTCTGCCTCCTCTCTGCCTCCTCTCTGCCTCCTCTCTACCTCTCTCTGCCTCCTCTCTACCTCCTCTCTGCCTCCTCTCTACCTCCTCTCTGCCTCCTCTCTACCTCCTCTCTGCCTCCTTTCTACCTCTCTCTGCCTCCTCTCTGCCTCCTCTCTACCTCTCTCTGCCTCCTCTCTACCTCCTCTCTGCCTCCTCTCTGCCTCCTCTCTACCTCTCTCTGCCTCCTCTCTACCTCTCTCTGCCTCCTCTCTGCCTCCTCTCTGCCTCCTCTCTGCCTCCTTTCTGCCTCCTCTCTGCCTCCTCTCTGCCTCCTCTCTACCTCTCTCTGTCTCCTCTCTACCTCCTCTCTGCCTCCTCTCTGCCTCCTCTCTACCTCCTCTCTGCCTCCTCTCTGCCTCCTCTCTACCTCCTCTCTGCCTCCTCTCTCCCTCCCCTCTGCCTCCTCTCTACCTCCTCTCTGCCTCCTTTCTGCCTCCTCTCTGCCTCCTCTCTGCCTCCTCTGTTGCTCTGTCGGGGTCTGCAGCTGGTGTGTCTTACATGAGTTGGCAAAGTGTGCGTATCTCCTCATAACACCGTAATCTCAAACCAGGGGTCGGGGATCACTTTGTCTCCTCATGAATACATGAATAAAGGAGATCAGTGTGTTCCATCTGGAAAATCAAAGAATAATGTCAACTGGAAATAGGTTTAATTTTAGTTTCTCATTCTGTTCAAAGAATGTCTTATCCAGCATTATCAGAAGTGAAATCATTTTCCATTGGTCGTTTAAAATCCCACTGGAAAACATACTCCAGTGTTTATCAGAGATGCAACACCCTAAAAGTTGATAGTAACAACTTTTAACAAGAAAACCAACAGAAGACAAAACCATGTGCGTTATTTTTGCCCAATATTTACTTAAAAGATACATTTTTGACTTGAAACGGTTTGTAATGCCAAAGTTTTAGAGTGTGAAATTATATATTTGGTAGAAAATATATAGTAAGCCACTTTGAAGAGTGAAAATGCTTTCCACCTGTAACTCTCTGTGCTACCACCAGAGGGAGCAGTTGATATTTACCTTTTTCTTTCCAAATTTGAAAATTGCAAACACAGCCATGTGAACTTGAGAAGTCGCCCAAACAAATACTGCTCTGAGCGTGAGAGCAACCTGTGCCCGAGAGGGTTCTGTCCGAGCCCGACCCAAACCCAAACCTTTTTCCAGCCTGAAAACGGCTGGACCCCGGCAGGTTTTTTAAGGGTGTGCGCTATACTGTCCTGAGGTCATCTGTGCACGATCCCAGTCCTCATCCCAGTCCACATCCCAGTCTTGCTCCCAGTCCTGCTCCCAGTCCTGCTCCCAGTCCTGCTCCCAGTCCTGTTTCCAGTCCTGCTCCCAGTCCTGCTCCCAGTCCTGCTCCCAGTCCTGCTCCCAGTCCTGCTCCCAGTCCTGATTCCAGTCCTGATTCCAGTCCTCATCCCAGTCCTCATGCCAGTCCTGCTCCCAGTCCTGCTCTCAGTCCTGCTCCCAGTCCTGTTCCCAGTCCTGCTCCCAGTCCTGATTCCAGTCCTGCTCCCAGTCCTGATTCCAGTCCTGCTCCCAGTCCTGCTCCCAGTCCTGCTCCCAGTCCTGTTCCCAGTCCTATTCCCAGTCCTGCTCCCAGTCCTGCTCCCAGTCCTGTTCCCAGTCCTATTCCCAGTCCTGTTCCCAGTCCTGCTCCCAGTCCTGTTCCCAGTCCTGCTCCCAGTCCTGCTCCCAGTCCTGTTCCCAGTCCTGCTCCCAGTCCTGTTCCCAGTCCTATTCCCAGTCCTATTCCCAGTCCTGCTCCCAGTCCTGCTCCCAGTCCTGTTCCCAGTCCTATTCCCAGTCCTGCTCCCAGTCCTGCTCCCAGTCCAGATCCCAGTCCTGCTCCCAGTCCTGATCTCTGGCACACTGCAGATCCCGTGGAGAAACAGAACAGTCTGCAGCTTCACAAACATATCTCGTGTGTGCGTCCAAATACCATTAGTCTCATAGTTTCATTTGTAAACACTCAGTTGTTCTGATGCCGTTCTCCTGGATTTTCAAATATAATCAAATGTAGAGCTTTTTAAAAGACAAGAGGAAAGAATCACATCCACGCTTTACAATTGCCTCACGTACCCGAACCCGACCCAGACCAGAGTGGAGCCATACAAATTAGACCCAGCCCAAACCCGTGGGTCCCATCAGGTCTCGTCGGACTCGTGCCCAGCTCTTCGCTCGCACAAATGCAGTTGTTTTTCCGCAGACACTCCTGATTACACAATGATCCGCGTTTACAACCTCATGAATTTCCCGACTCCAACAAACTCCCGGAGCTCCACTTAAATCTATATTTCATTTCATTACAGTCGTGGCCATTCATCATCTTTGCCTCTGCTAATAGGCTTCATTACGGAGCAAGTTCAATTATCCCCAGATCAGATTCTTGCTATCTGCACACCGCTTCGTGCAGGACGCTAACCCGAGCCGCCGATTCACTTACAAGCTCTAAAATAATTATAACTTGCATGAAAAGGTAGATTTGAATGCGTCCGAGGCAGAGAAAGTGATTGGCAGCTCATTTAGGGGCTCAGCACAGACTTGACCTTGTAATCCAACGCTTTAGGCACTGGGACAATTTGCTGTGTTCAATATGTGATGAGCAGACGGTGAATGGGAGCTGCACTGGAGAGGAAGAGGCACTGGGCTGGAGTCGAGAGATGGAGACACTGATGAGGGATCGTCAAAGCCAGCCTCAGTTTATCGTTGGTCCAGACCAGAGCAGTTTTAGTTCAGTTAGCTCCAAAGACTCGAGCCGGTTTCACACCAAATTCAGAGACAGGACGACTTTGAATGAAATTGGGAAAACCTTGGGCCGCCAGATTCCCAAACGCGTCCATGTTCATATATAAAGAAGCTGTATGATTATGTAAGTGATCTGTATTTATATAGCACATTTTTACAGTTCAAGGTCGCCCAAAGAGCTGGAAGACCTTTTCCGACCAGGATTTGAACCCAGGGCCTTCTTGCTGAGAAGCGAGAGTGCTAACCACTTTGCCATTATATAGCTAGATAGATAGATACTTTAATATCCCCCATTGGCAAAATTGTTTCAGCAGCAGCAGAAACACAAAACAAATACATAAATCATTCAAAAAGTTGCTAACATTGTATCAAAATACAACAGTCAGAGGTGGAGCCGCTTGGTTCAGACGGTTTTCTCTGCTCAGGTCTAAAGTAAAATGCTGAATGCTTTGTTAGCATTTTTCAAAAAGTTAGCATTCCTCCTGGGAATTTATGGCTGATCCACTTGTTTTGGACCATGAATCCTCTCTGCTCTGGTCTGGACCAGTGTAAAACCATGAATCCTCTCTGCTCTGGTCTGGACCAGTGTAAAACCATGAATCCTCTCTGCTCTGGTCTGGACCAGTCTAAAACCATGAATCCTCTCTGCTCTGGTCTGGACCAGTCTAAAACCATGAATCCTCTCTGCTCTGGTCTGGACCAGTGTAAAACCATGAATCCTCTCTGCTCTGGTCTGGACCAGTCAAACCAGTGCAAAACTATAAACACTGTACTGCAGCAACATCAGTTTCAGAGACACTCAGGACTCGCAGCTGTTTCCAGCGCATTCCAAAGAATGCATCAGTAACATAGACTGTATATATTAAGGGACAGAGTCACGCCTATCTCCGCCGTTCTAACTAATGGGCCAAAAAATGTGCTCTACTGGAGCAATCCAAAATGGCCGCGAGTGGTCCCGTCCACAAGAAAATTGTGAAAAAACGCATCTGCGCATGCGTCAGCCGGAGCAACTCCATTCATTTGAACGAGAGACTTCAAAGATTCACAGCAAGTAAACTAGAGTGGACCAAAAAATTCCACCCCCCTCAGCATTGACACACATTTGGAACGGAGTTTTGGGCCAAGAGCCAACTTTTGGTCCATCCTGTAAAGATGTTTTTGAGAGGTCTGCCAATGCTATATGTTAGCATTGGCTAATTCTTCTTCCGGGTCCACCCCCATCGGCCCGGGGTGGTATTGCAGCATGTCAGCGCACGTCATTTTGGCCACTTTTGAGCTGGGACCCTCCCAGACTGATCAGTAATCATTGATTCTGGCAACAAAAGTGTGACTGTAATTGTAATGACTTTATCTGACCACTAGTCTTACACACTGTCACTTTAAAGTTATAAGTAGTAATATCAAGTATCATTATGCACAGAAGATTTTATTCTCGAATGATGTGTAGATTCTAAACTCATACAAAACTTTCTTCTCTTTCTGAACACATAATTTCTGACATTGAGATGAATATATCTCAAATTAAATATAAGTGTAGTATTCCTCAGGTTAGACTGCAGTTATAGAAGTGAAATGTCACATCAATGTGTGACATGATTTTATTATTGTTCTATCTCCTCAGAGCAGCGCAGGGAAAGAGTGTGTGATTACACTGCAGCTGCTGCGTCTGCAGAGACCGAGGCTCTTTACCATAGAACCATCCACAAACCCAGGGTTATAGTCGTAACAGTCGTTTACCATAGGATCAGTCTGACACAACCTAACCCTGTGTGTGGGTGTGTGTGTGTGTGTGTGTGTGTGTGTGTGGGTGCGTGCGTGCGTGTGTGTGTGCGTGCGTGTGTGTGTGTGTGTGCGTGTGTGTGTGTGTGCGTGTGTGTGTGTGTTTGTGCGTTTGTTTGTATTTCTCAGCCGGGGAGCTGGTGCACCTGCCTCCGTACCTCCGCATGGACTTCCTGTTGAACCGTGGCGTGCCGCTGGCTGCTCGAGGGGCGCTCAGCAGCAGCAGTGGGAGCAGCATTGGAGCAGGAGGCGCAGGAGGAGGAGGAGGTGCTGGTGCTACAGGGGAGAGCAGAGCCTTGGTGCCAGCAGGGGCAGGGGCCATGGGCCAGGCCTGTCTGGAGCCTCAGAGGAGCCGCACACTGAAGAGACCCCCTCCCATGGAGCCCACCATGGAGGTGCCCTCGGCCCGAGAGCTGCAGCAGTGGCAGCCTGGAAGTGCCTCCACACTGCCCCACCGGGTGGAGCGAGGGGAGGCCCGAGGGGAGGTCCGGCCCGAGTCCGGAGACCTGGCCCATGCACAGGCTGCCAAACTCAGCACCTCCCAGGAGTCACTGCTGGACTCCAGAGGACACCTGAAACAGAGCAACAACCCCTACGCCAAGTCCTACACCCTGGTATAACACTGGCCAGACTGGACTGGACCCCTGAACTCTGTACATACGGCCCGGACCCGGACTCGGACCTGGACCCGGACCCTCACATGCGTCTCCAGTGGATGCTTTACTTCACTCTTTCTCTTTTCTTCCTTTTCTGTCGCTTTTCTCTACGGTGGCCCACAAGGCTCAGCACACCCACAGAACACACACGCTGCAGTTACCATGGTAACAGCACATTCACACTTGTGGGCCTGAGCCTCCGGGGCCACCGTACCTCTCTGTTGCTTTTGCACTCTTCATTCTGTCACTCGCTCCTTGGATTTTCAGTTTTTATTTTGTACTTGAGTATTCTTTTAAAGTGACAACATATGAGGATTGCCAAAAGGATTTATTTAAAAATTTCAGAAAGAGAAAAAATGCTATTGAATTTATATCAAGGACAATTATAGTCATTATTATTACTATGATTATTATTATATAAAAGCAGAAAATATTCTAAAAAATAGAACGGCGAGAGGAGCTTTGTGGAGTAGTCCGCGGGGAATCCTTTATTTATTTTTGTTTCTTGTGCCGGTGTAATGAATCGTGATTGGGTAACTGAGGGTAGGAACCACTTTGAAGAGCCAATGGGGACAAGGATACGAGTGACACGGACGCTGGCCAATCGTATTGTTTTTCAACCTTCCTGGCGACTGCATGGCGACCGATAAATGACAATTAACTGGAATGGCTGGAAATCCAAAAAAGAGATTTTTTGTCACACTATAAAGTTATACAATGTGAATATATATAAAGAGATCACTTTTATTTGTGGATATTACGGGGAAATGATTTGATTAATAAAGTCCTTAGTCATGTTTGCACAAATCTGTCTTTTATCCTGACTTGACAATTATACTTGACACAGTGTTGGGTCCATCTGTTGATTCTGTGGCTAAAGTTATAAACTAGACCAGGCATGGGCAAACTTCTCCTCCTGAGGGCCACTTTGGGACACCAGTCTGCTGTCAGGGGCCGGACTCATGTTCCCTATGTTGTTCTCAGGCTTCATGTTAAATATTATATTATATTAAACACTATATCTCTCGGCAGCACAGAGGGTTGTTTTAGGCTTTATACAATATCTATATAAAGTGAGGGGGGCTAAAGGGCCTGATAGAAACGTCCACAGGGCCGCATCTGGCCCACGGGCCCGGGTTTTCCCACCACTGTACTACTGTATACCAATGTTTCTGAATGGTTTCTGAGCCGTCTACAGCCTGAAAGTATAAAATAATATAATTGGACTAAATGTGAAACTGAAAAATGACGGACTCTTGCAGACAAAGGTAGAGACAGTTTTCCGTCGAGCTTCACCTTTTTGGCCTCGTTGTTTTGTGGATGTTTTTGTGTTTGCAATTTTATATCATGCTTTATTTACAGCGTGTTTTTCCTAAACTCCGACAGAATCATATACAACCCTAACCATGAGCTTTGGGCAAACACAAGGCCCAAGTTTACCGGCATTAATGGTCAGGTTAATGGCTTGCTATACCTCATTTTTAAGCTAAGCCAAGAAAACAGTCATGATTTTTTTAATTCTAACATTTAAACCCAACACCTATAAAATGTTAGTTCCTTTCACTTTGACCCATATTTGGTTCAGTTCAAACATACAGCAACTGTGTTTAGTTCAGAGGAATCCGTGGTCTATAATGTAAACCAGGGACCACTGCGTCTCAGGCCTAAAAACCCCAAATAAAAAAGAATTTAGAGCATTCTGAAACTGGGCCGTATTGAGTCTGTATCGTGTTTTGGTTTCACAAGTTGAAATACAGAACAATATGAACTTTTGGACAATAATCTAGTTTTCAGAGTTCCACCTGGAGGTCGTACCACAAACAAACTCCCTCAAGGTCAAGTGGCCTTCACCTCGTCCTCCGTCTTGCTTCCGTCCGTCCTGAGTCCAATCCAATTCCTTTTTCTTCTCGACCAGAGGGGAAGTTGCTTTTGTCTTTTCCCACAGATTAACGTTGCAAATTGTCTGAGACCCAGTGTAAGGGGTCCCTCAGGGTTCTTAGGTTGGCTATGGTCCCAAATACTGAAACTAAAAACTATTCATTAAAGCTGAGGTACCTAACTTTCAAGCTACAATAACACTGTGTAATGAAATCTATGTAACTTTGGCCTCTGTCACATCTTCGGATCAGCTTTTTCCGACTGAAAAATGAAAAAGGAGGTCCACGCTCTCTCAGCCAATCAGCTTTCAGCCCAAATCATAAACTATAGAGACTCTAAGGGCTCTTTCTTACATACTTTTTCTTCTGACTGTATGTATGGTCTGATTTGTTCACCTTTTACTTTTACAAGATATTTTTTCTTTCTGTTGGGACCAAGAAAAAGTGTTATTTATGAAGACAAAAGTTAGGTCGCCCAGCTTTAATGTCAAGTCTAAACACCTCTCCGACCATCACAGGGTGTTCGAGAAGACTCATTATTGTCTCATTACTGTCACATTGTTTGCGTGTTATCAGCAGAGGGCACTGTGTCGTCACTAACAGAAGTGATTTGGCAGCGACAGGACTGAGCTGCCTCTGTAAACCTCTGTGGACGTATGATTTTTTAGTCATTTGGTGACTTTGAGAGGACAGACAGACGAGAGCCGGCGCAGGGCACAGGCAGGAGTGAATAATTTATGCCACACCACCGGAGCGGATCAGGTGGAGCGACAGCCTTATGCCTGCAGCTGTAAGCAGAGACAGAGTCATGTTTGTGATTATGTTTGGATTAGCCTTAGACGGCCAACTGGCTCCAGTTCAATGTTTCCTGGTAATTTACCGACTTAAAGGTGATGTCAGCAACTTAAATTGTTTTTAAAGAATGTATATTTCCAACCATAGGGCACTGTGTTTTCATGTGCAATAAGTATTTTCCAACAATTTTAGATTTACAGTAGCCTCTCCTGTTGGCATAACTTCAACCAGTGGGATTTGCAGATGGAGAGAAGTTAAACCAATCACAAAGGGTCTTGGAATTTGAATTAATTTTGGACCAATCAGGAGGCTGCAAGCGTGAGCATGGGCGGGTCTAACCAGTTCCTGTCTTCAAAAACAAATTGAAAAGTAATTGACAGTCACTTTAAAGTTGATTTTAGGATGATGTTTGCATGATCTGTTGTAAAGTCCTTCGAGACGACTGCTGTTGTGATTCAGGACTATCCACAAATACATTGAATTAGTAATGAAAAACTATCACTACTCATCCCACCAGCCCCAGTGAAAAACCTGGGTGTGGTAGTATCATGCTGTGGGGCTTCTTTTCTTCAGCAGGGATGGAGAAGAGTGTCAGTTGATGAGAAGGTGAATGGAGAAAATCACAGGACGAAAATTGGCAAAGGACATTCAACTGTCGACTGTTTGCTTCTGGACAATTTACCAAAACATGAAGCCTTTCCGTGCAGTAAATTAGATTAGGATTATTTTAAACATGCAATTTGTAAACACAAGTGCAATATTTCCGACAACACAGGAGAAGTCAACAGTATTTTAATTAAGTGTAAATATATAACAAAGAGAATTTATATGCTGCATTTACAAGATAAAAGTTTACATGTTTGAAAAGTAGTAAAATCCCTCTCTTTTTGGGTTAAAAAAAACAAAAGATAGTGTTGTAAGAATGGCCCAGTCAAAATTCAGACCTAAATCCAAATCTGTGGAAAGATCTAAAAACTGCTGTTCACAAACGCTTCCCATCGAATCTGAGCTCAAATTGTTCTGTAAAGATGAATGGGAAAAACTTTCAGTCTCTCGCTGTGGAAAGTCTGTGGAGGCCCCGCTTTCTATTGATCTTGTATGATCACTCAAACCTCACTTTTTGGTTTTTGTTTTTATTACCAAAAGCATGTATCAGTGCCTTGGATTAAGTCTTTCAGAAATAAACCCAACTTGAAATCCTCATGAAGTTGTAAATATGCAAACATTTCTCATAGATGTGAACGCAGCAGATATTTGCACAGGGTTTGTTTGTTTTAAAAGTAGCTGAAGCCTAAATGGAGCAGCTCGGTCCACGTGTGACATACTTTCCTCCAGTGTGAAGTGTGTGACTTCTAAGTGTCCTCTGCGTGGACTCCATCCATCCTGGGCCTGAGTCTGCTCCTCCTGACTCCACTTCTAATACACCTCCACACGCCACTGATTTACAAGCCCTGGACAATCATTGCTTCTATCTGCAGGTATGAGCGTGTGCATGTGTGTGTGTGTGTGTGCGTGCGCGTAACAACACTCTCACCACGGTCTAATCCCGGCTCACGTTCCCTGTTAGTGTGTGAACTCTGCTTCACAATGATTGGAAGAACCGACATGCAAGGATCTTGTGTGTGTGTGTGTGTATCTTGTGTGCGTGTGTGTTTCTGCGTGGCCTCTGTCTGTGATAAAGATGGATGGTCCTCCTCTTTACCTTGCACTCAGCGCTTACATTAAAGCAGTGGGAGTGGGACTGGACCCTATGACCTGCAGCAGAGCAGCTCAGAAGTCAACTTAAAGAAGACGTGTGGTGAGAATCTACGACACCTTTACAAAAGAACACCTGAAAAGTCACCTGAGAGCAGACCTCAATCCAGGGACCTCAAAACACTGTACAAACATCTTCCAATTTGAACTGCAGCATAAAAGTAGAAAACTCAGAACAAATAGAACAAAACAGAATCAGTTGTAAACGCAGCGAGATACATGTCTCACATCCTCAGGAAGACTGTTCCATATCTACAAGTCCTGTAGGAGCAGTGGCCTCTTTAATATACAATCTGTGACGTGACATTTGTGTATTTTCTTAAGTCTATGTTCACACACACACACACACACACACACAGACATACACAGACAAACGCGCACACACACACACCGACAAACACATACACAGATACATACACACACACACACACACACAGTCCCTAAAGAGCATCATAATGAGGATCCTGGAGCTGTCAGTGATGTCACCTCACGTCTCACAGATTTATGTTTCACTTTCTACAGGAAGAAAAAGTGGAT